TCTAATGAGAGATGGAGCAGCGAAGGACTGGAAAAGAGGCGGAGCTTTCAAGCGGCGAGTCCGCACGAGTTTCTCCGAACACTTAACAGTCCGTGGGTTCTTTTTTTTTTTTTTCCCCATCTCACTTCCTATTGGTCGACGGAGAGCGCAGGGAGAACCGCCCCTTCGGGTCGATTGGCTGGGCTTGAGAGCAGGGTTCCCGGATGTTGAGACGTTACAACGGGTATAAAGGGCTCGTCGAAGGCGGGAGAGGGTGCAGTTTTGAACTGGAGTCGTCGTCAAAGAGCAGTGGCGGCAATCAAAAGACCGGAAAGTAGTCATCTTCGATTGGCCTAAAAACGATTCTCCTCCCGTGGGTGGACAGACCTCGTTGGAAAATGGTAAGATAACGGCTAAAAGGAACAATTTGGGAAGCGGGGGGCGCCCGGCTGAGCGGGCGGATTCTTCTCCCTCAAGGGCTCCCTTCAGAAGCGAGACAGCCTTGGGGGGGGGGGTACTTCCAACAGAATTCAGGCTTGAACGAATTGGGGAGGGGGGGAAAGCAAAGAGGGGCGCGGTCACGCACGCGGTACACCCTACTGCGGTGGTCGAGCGTTTTATAGTTCTTGAGGCGCATGCGCTCACAACCGTACTAAAGAGCGGTGGGCGCGTGCGCGGCGGCTATTTCAGCGGCGGGTGGGGGACGGCTGGCGTGGTTCCGCTCAATGCGCATGTCTCGTCTCCGCGCTTCCGAGGCTTTATTGGCTGAGGAACTCTGGGAGTTGTAGTCCACAAGTCTTAGAGTGGCCACGGTTGGAGCCCCCCTGCTCTAGATTTAAATGCCGAGGAACAGCCGCATCTTGTGCCTTTGCAAGGAAAAAGGGGCTCCTTTTCTCGGCGGCGGCGGGAGGCAAGAATACATGGTGTTAGTGAGGGACGTTTCTCGTGTAAGGGATTTCCTTTCTTTCTCCCCAGGCTGGAGGAAAAGCTGGAAAGGACTCCGGGAAGACGAAAACCAAGACGGTATCCCGGTCACAGAGAGCCGGTTTACAGGTGGGTAGGGCACGTTAAGAGTTTAGGGTATTTGTTTTTCGCATTTTCTGGCAAAAGGGAGGAAGCTAAAATATTAATCCTTTTAGAGCAGGGACCTCCAAACTTGGCAACTTTTAAGATTTGTGGACTTCACCTCCCAGAATCCCTCAGCTAGTCATGCTGGCTGGGCAATTCTGGGAGTTGAAGTCCACAAGTCTTAAAGTTGCCAAGTTTGGAGACTCCTGTTTTAGAGTTGAACTAGTTGCTGTTTGTTTTTTTTAAGCTACATAGATTTGAAACAAGTACAATTGTTACTTGTTGTAATTAGGTACAATTAAAAGATGAACAGTGGTAAATGTTGTATTTAAGTATTGAGCTTTTTTCTTCTTCTGAGTGTACAGTTTCCTGTTGGTCGTATTCACCGGCACCTGAAATCGAGGACAACAAGTCATGGGCGTGTGGGGGCTACAGCTGCCGTGTATAGTGCTGCTATCTTAGAGTACCTCACAGCTGAGGTGAGAGCTTGGTTTGGGTAAAAGCATCTTACAATTATAGGACCTATAGGATGTTGTTGTATTTTACCTTTTATTTCAAGTAGAATAGATGTATTTGTTACATTATTTACTGAATTTTTCTGGTCCAAAAGACAAGCTATAGTTATCCTAGAGCAGCATACAAGCAATATAAATCAATGCAAATAAAAGCAAATATTGTTTCAAAGGTCTCTAAGCATTTTTCTCTTGGCATAACTGATATAACTTGAGATAATAAAGGAAGAAATTCAGTGGAGAAAAAAACCCAAATTGAAATACAAAAGGGGATTGAAAAACACAATATGGTATATGAACTCCCAGAGTGTAGAGTAACTGAATATATTGTTGATATTGGTTATTAAAATCCAGGTGTAGTTGTCTACCAATTTACAAATAGAAATAGCAAGCACTCATGATCAATATAAGACATGACATTGGCTAATTGTCACTTTTGTACCTCACATTTTGGATTTCTGCCAAATTGTTAGTTTGCAGAACCAAATCTTTAAATGTTTTGGTTATTCAAAGCTTTAGATTAAAAAATATAAGATGGCAGCCTTAGTGTCCTCAATAGCTCCCACTGCAGTATATTCTCTGACTTATCTGTTCCTAAACTTCTGTTTCCTTCTGCAAACACTAACATCAGTTTTTTTTTCCATTCTTTACTACCCGAAATCACTGTTCAAAGCAAAGCAGCCATGGTTTGTTTGTGTGCATACACAACAAAATACCCAAAACATATTTTACAATGTGGCATGCACTACTGAAAATCACTGTTCCATAGGATGTTCTGCACATTTATATGCTATACTGATTGCCTTATTGCATTACCATAGCTCAGGGGAAATGTATCATTCTCCAAGTTCCTTTCCAGCATTTCTGATACGTTCCAGGAGCATGGACTGTCGAGACATCATTTGTTGTGGATACCAGCTTCTTTAACTTCTCCATAGGTCTCTATCTTCAATGAAGGCATGGTTTTAAATGGGATGCTTTGCAATTAACAATTTGTCTTGGTTTCATCTCTAGGTTCTTGAGCTGGCAGGGAACGCATCTAAAGATTTGAAGGTAAAGCGAATTACTCCTCGTCATCTACAGCTTGCAATAAGAGGTGATGAAGAACTGGATTCATTAATCAAAGCAACAATTGCTGGTGGAGGTATGTGCTAATTTTACTATTTTGTGGCATCTCTAGTTGGTGATGCTTTAACCTAATGATTCTGTGCTGCTGTCACTTAACTGAATCTTTTCCTTTTTTTCTTTCAGGTGTAATTCCACATATTCATAAATCTCTCATTGGGAAAAAAGGTCAACAAAAAACAGTTTAAAGGATTACTTATTAGAACTTTCAAAAAGCTATGTTGTCCATTGTTAGTGGATTTCCAATGGACTTCATCTGTGAAATACAATTTTGCCTTTCTTTAATCTTGAAGATGGAACCCATCAAGCTTTCTAACCAAAATTCTGCATTGAAGTCTTAATCTTATTTAAGTGTTACATGGCTTCAGAGAAGCTATTGTCTGTAGTGGTTTTTGACCGTTTTAGATATGTTGGATTTTAATGGGATTCTTGACATTGTTGCTAATATGTAATTTTTAATGCATTGAGTACATTTATTGAATTATACTATGACATTTAAAACAGATTTGGACATCAGCATTGCTAATTAAATGAAATTATAAAAACTTGAATTATAAAGCTTTGATGTTAATCTCTTGTAGTTAAGAACAAAAAGTTCCAAAAGAAACAAAAACTGTTTATGTCTTGTACAGAATCTGAAGGAGTTAAATGAATGGATTGCTTTAAGACAATATGTTTGAACCATTTTTAAGATGCTGACAATGTGTATGATTAGTTAGGTCAAGTTCTTGAAAAGTACTTTACAGTAAGCTATGTATTTATATTGTTTTAATTATTTGGTCCCCATTTCATGGAAGCTGCTGATCTTACTGAGTGCTAATGTGCATGCACTGTGCTAGCAACACATAAAAACCCTTGCAAAAACTGTTTCATGACCAATCACTGCCAAAGGAATCACATTAAGCCATATGACTTATATGGTTTTGGTTAATGTGTAAAGCTAAGCATTGTGGCTTGTATGCCACATCTGACCTGGGGTATTGTTCATGCTGTGCCTTCTAATGTTTTAAACTAATCTTCAGTACTTGCAGCTGTGTTGCTTCAGCTACCATTTGAAATAAGCATTCAGATAATTCCATCCAGTTCACTGTATATTAAAATTGAAATTTCCAATTGAACTTCATATACTCAGTATAAGGCTGTCCTGTCCCTTTCTTCACTCACCTAAAAATACATGCCTTAGAATGTATAATTTCAAAAAACTGACATTTTGTTACATTTGTGTCCTGAGTTTCCTGGGAAGAGACTATATTACTTGAATTTACTGTATTTCTGCCTTGTCAATGCTGTATGTCATAATAGATCATTAATTTCTTTACAGAAAAATGTACATTCTAAGTTTATTAAATTAAAACCAAATCATAAATCTTAAATATTTCTATACAGCATCAGTTTAGATTAAGTTGTTAAAAGATTTTTAACCATGATGGTTGTATTGACCCCAAATTAATGAGTTGGAAAAATGAAACAGGTATTACTTTACTTACCTGTTCTAGTGGGCATCATCTATAATGTACAAATAAAGTTACTGAAAAATATTTTGAATTGTGATGCTTACTTCACAAAGAAGCAAAGAGCTTTCAGCAATACAGTACTGTCATGTGGGAAAGTACTGAGTTGCATGCAGTGATTCATAGGTCTTGTAGTTCCAGACATGGCTTGCTAATGCCAGCAGCCTTGTCAAAAAATAAAGCATGTATCAGCCATCTTAATTTTGTCTTTGGGTGATGGGAGTTGATCATAATGGCCCTTAATGGTTACTAATTTAATTAGTAAATGGACTAGGATTCCTGAAACATGAAGAAATAACGTTAAACTGGTGTTAGAAAGTTTGCTTTTTTTTTTTTTTTAACTACCAAAGCTGTTCCCTGGTATCTGCTATCTTGCTTCAAGCACCTGGAAAAGTTTTGGAGATACTTAGGCGAAGGTCAAAAATAAATTTTGGGTAGTAGCACCCTCTTAATACTGCTAGTAAAACCAAATTTAAGGCAGCTTGCAAATACCTCAAGAGCAAAATCAATTGTAAAAATGACAGTGTTAGTCCACTAAGAATAAGCAAAGGCTGACGAGAACTTGAACCGTTGAAACCTTTTAAAAAGCGGAGTTGGATTAAAACTCAGCACTTTACAAGCAAACGGAGCAGGCCTGACTGGCGAGCTGTAACGACCACGGGCTCCGTGTGGGAAACCGACCGAGCAGCGAGCAGAACCTGCGTTTTAATCCAGGCAGTCCCGGCGGCGCGTGCGCAAAGGCAGCTCCGCTACCGGCTGCAGCGCTTCCCGGAAGCGAGAGGAGCAGTAGCGGATCCGCTGTTTGTCTCAGGCCGCCGCGACGTTTGCGGGCACCGGGTCCTGGGGAAGGGAGGACGATGTGCCAGAGGAGCGCCGGCGGCAGCGGCCTAAAGTGAGCCTTAAGGCCGTGCGAGCGAAGGCGTCGCCGCCGAGTCAGCCCCGGCGCCCGGTTTCCTCGGCGCCCGTCCGGCTGGCCCCGCCGCTCTGGCCCCGTCAGGCCCCTTTTCTCTGCGCTGCGGCGGGCGGAGGCGGCGGAAAGAAAAGCCCATGGAAGGGAACCGGGACGAGGCGGAAAAATGCATCGGGATCGCGCGAGAGGCCCTGGAAACCGGCAACCGAGAACGGGCGCTGCGTTTCCTCAATAAGGCCCAGAAGCTCTATCCGACAGAGACCGCCAAGGGTAAGCACGGGTCGCCCTAAGGCCGGCGGGGAGCCGGTAATAGCCAGCCCGGAGTCCTTTCCTTGCGGAGCATCCCCGCCGCTTGAGATACGTCAGTCTCGGTTAAGGGACGATGGCCTCGCGCGCTCCTTCTCTTCCTTCCTGGGTGGCCGGGCCGGGGCCGGGGTCTTTACCCCAGATGAGGTGGGAGAGCGAGGAACAGGCCGAAGCTTCATCAGCATCGAGGCTCTTAAACAAGGTCCTTAGATAAGCTATCCTTCGTAGACTAACCCACGTTCAACCCCCTAAAGCTGTAAAGTAAACCATAGCTTCCTAAAAGCAACATTTTGGCTTGTCCTTTGCGATACTGTAAGCCAAAAATCAGACCCTGGTTCAACAGCAGAAGTAGCTTGGAATACTGCGCTGTAACCAATTTGCCACTGAGGCTCTCTAATAAAGTTATTTATTCTAACAAATAATTAAGCCATGAGAAAAATAAAGGGAGATATAACTAAATCTAGTTTATATTATTACCCTTCAGTATACCTTTCCATACCTTTTTTTCAATGCAAACCATTTTTCCTTGTACTGTGGCCAGATACCATTTCAACACTCCCTTTTAAAGTCTTGTCTACCCATTTACTGTTCTTTCATAAATTTATATTCTAAATGTATTTGTATTATTTTGTGTTTTCTTTATAATTAGTAGAATGCAGACCCAAAGCTTATTGGCTTATAAAATAATATTCAGTTTAGAGATCATAGCTTACTTAAAGTAGTGTGAACATACTTTGGGGTTAAACTTGTCTTTGGTTGCAATTGTGGCATATTGGCCAAAATGTGCCAAAACTATCTTGGATAGTTGATAGTGATAATAACAATATTATCTTGATATTAGCAAGCAATGCTACATTAACAAGGACATAATCAATGCTGGTAACCTAACAAAGACTGTTTATTAGTTAATTAGTGATATGGTGTGTTTATGAGCTCACAAAATTTGGATAACCTACTAAACCATAGTTTTTATTATTAGATTTATATTGCACGTTTATTTATACAACTCAAGGTGGTCTACACAATTGTTCCCACCTCCTGTTATCTGGCCCAAAGTCACCCAGGTGTTCTAAGAATGGACTAGAATTCACATTTCCCAGCTTCTAATCTAGCATTTTAACCACTACAGCAAACAATTTAATGGATTAAATTAACTGTGGATAGCTATTTCATGTGAACATAACCACTGATGTAATGAAATGTGCAAACTCATCAGTTTCAGTGAACTATGTTTATGTGTAAAGTACTTTAGTGTTCTTGCAACGTTTTGTATTTTCCACTCTCCTATCAGTGATACTCTCATTTGATTCACATTTCTCCCCTTTTTTGATGTTCTTGCTGTGGAAGGATGAGTTATCTAGTCTTTCTTGTACTCCATTTTGTCTTGAGGGCCAACTTGAAATATAGGTTAATATAGACTTTTTAAGAAAACGTTATAACTTCAGTTAAACTCCAAAATAGTTTTATAATACAACATCCAAACAAATGTCTAAATTTGCAATTTCACAGTCAAGCAAATTCACCAGCTGACAATTACAGAGGCATATAATTGTTGAAACACATCAAAGGCATCATAAGAATAAAAAGGTTTATTAACATTTTCATTCTAGTTTTGAATATATTGCTTGAAAATGTGTTATTCTTTGATTATAGTTTATGGTTTTCACTTGGGAAAGGGAAAGGGAGAAAAGTGAATGAGATATATTAAGAAAAATTTATTGGGTATATTCGAGGTGCTGTTTTTTTTTAATTCTCAAATTATTTGGAGCTCTCAAAAATATTTGAGTTTAAATTAATGATTTCAATCCTATTAATATGACTTGTACTTTCTGAGTTGTTGATGAACATACTACAATAGCATTGTTGGAGATATCAATAATGCTTCTTCCTTTAAAGATTGTAAGCTGCTACTATTTATAGTAGTAGTTATATTGATAGAAATTAGCAGGTAAGGATCAGCATTAAAACCAGCTAATATTTTTATCTCAAGCTGTTATTTGAAGCAGTTATTTAAAACGGTTAGGTTTTCTTCCACTTATTATAAATGGATTATAGATGGAGTTTTCCGTCTCTATCCTTATGTCATTCAAAGCCCTGTAAGTTTAAAACATAGATTAGCTAAAGCAAAATTTAGTTTAAATCATCATACATAGTGTATGCTAAAGCTTATTCAGTCTAGTGTGCTCTAGTGGTGAAGGTGCTCAACTAGGAAGGAGCAGAAGACCAAGCTCTAGTCTACCATCTATCATAGAAGCTCACTGGGTGTCTTTCGGGAAGTCGCTCTCTCTTAGCTCAGTACACCTCAGAGCTAGTCATTGTTTTCCAACTGTTTCTTCAGAGACTGTTTGAAGCTACAGTGGTGTTGAAAAAGTAGGGTTTATGACCAGCCCTTTGAATTTGAGGCTGTCACAACATCCCCATGTTCTCATAGACATGATTGGAGCACTTGGCAACTAGCAACTTTTACAATAGTTGTAACATCCCATCATTATTTGCAACATTCCCTGCTGGCTTCCCACAAGTAAAGTCAGTGCAGAATCCAACAGTAAGTTGCAAGTCATGGTCACATGACCTTGCAATGAACAACCACAGTGATTTGCTTAAGAGCCACCGCAGTTGTAAGTTGGTCATGGTCATGTGAAGTTTCAATTAACAACCACATCACCTAGCATTGGAGTTGCTGGTCCCAATTGATGTCAGTAAGTGAGGAATAGCTTTTCCATTTGTAGTGTTTTTCTTGCTTTTTTTTTTTGTAATCAACTAAGTGTTGATCCACTGGTTGTGTGTGAAATTGACCAATCATCTTGTTGCCCAAGCTTGACATTGTGGGCTGAGAAAGACTGACTGGCCCAAAGTCACCCAGCCAGCTTTCATGCCTAAGGTAGGATTAGAGCTTGTGGTCTCTTGATTTTTACCCTGATACCTTAACCACAAGACCCAAGTGAGGACTACCTGTGTGAAGAAAAGTAGAATACTGATTGCCATCTTGAGCTGTGGCATAAGCTGCATGATGTATCTGAATCAAATAAGCGAACTAATAATTGCATACTGGGTGAAGGCATGAGTAAAAATATATGGGATGCCTTAGGTTAACAAAAAGAGAAATTCACCATGGTGCTAAATGTATTTGATAAGCTGTTAATTGTATGACATTCAGGGTACAGCAGTAGATTGTATCTTAATCTTTTTACTACAACAAGAAACAATTTACAGTTAACATATTTTAAATTAGGAATCTTAAAACTGACACTACAATTGCCAAATATTTCATTAGCTCAGATCCTTATCTAGATAGTAATTCATTTTCAAAGTTACATTATGTTAACACCTTGATAGCAAGCAATGAAATGAGAATATTTCATTTAGTTCATTAAATTTAAAAATTCTATAACTGCATTGGCTACTCCACACATATGTGATTAAATTAAATAACTTCATTATCTCAAATTTCATTCATATGTGCATTGTTCATGTAATCATGCATTTACACAAGTCTGTTAATGTTAAATTAATACATTATAAATAAACTCAATTGTTACACAGATTTTTATAGTTAGCCTTGGTTTTCTTTTATTACTAGCCTAATTTTAACTTGTAGCTACATGACAATTACTTTAAATGGTTTAACTATACACTTACTTATATGTGAAAAATTTCTCCAACATGCCCTCTCTCAGAATTTCTAGCTTGATGAATATGGGCTGCTTTTACATAAATTGTTTATATTTACTATGTCATTAAAAAAAAATTCATTAATAAATGATCATATACCTCTTACAGTGATTTAGATTATATGAAATGACTGTGCAACCACTTGGGTATTAAATGTTACAAATGTCTCCTAGATGATTGGCAGTGCCTACATTTATTGTAAGAGAAGAGGCTGATGTTCTTTGTTGTTTCTTTTCAGAAAGAGTAAGCCTACAAATCTATGCATGCTTACTCAGGGGATAGACTCATTGTACCCAGTGATAATTACTTTTAAGTAAACAAATATAGACTTGTGCTAGCAAAAGCAAGTACTATAACTAGATAAAAGTCAGATTTTTTTTTTTAAAAAAATGTATATCCCTACGTTATTAAAGATTGGAGCATGAAACCCTTCTCAATTTATTTATAAACAATGTACAGTGGTACTCTGTGTATGTATGTGCATTTCTACATGAACACTTGACTTTTGTATCTTCTCTTAGAACTGGCATAAGTGATGGGAATATTTGAATGTTTCATTTTCACTTTTTTTTCTCTTTAGTGTTATTGGAGGCAATTATGAAAAATGGGAGTGCTGCTGGAAGTGGTACTCACTGTCGAAAACCAGCAAGTAAGAATGATAAAAGTAAAACTAACAGCATGAAGGACAGCAGTGCATCTGCTGCAGGTGAACTTGGCAAGACTTACACCAAGGAGCAAATTGAAGGAGTACAAAGGTATTGATTGCTCTATAACACTTCATTAATGTAAAAATTAAATTTTAAAAAAATGTCTATAGGTAAATTAAAAAATACCCGATTTAGCACAAAAATGTGCTTTAAACTGTTTCATTGTACACTAGCTACAAGTTTGTCCTGATCTTTTTTCAACAATTTTAGGGAAATTATGTTTCTTACAATGATGATTTTAATGTCAGAGCAACCCTGAGTAACATGGTAGTAAACAGAATGAAGTTATCCAGTGAGTTTCGTAACTGAGTAAGAATTTTGCCTTACATTTATCATTTGCAATATAATACTCTTTATTGCCACACCAACATTGGTTTGTCTTGTTTTCAAGCAGAAAATATTTTTAGAAGTATTTCAACAATACGTGGAACACGTTGCTCAGTCTCTAAGTGGTAGTAATAAGAAATGTAAGAGAAAATAGGACAGCTAATCAATTCCATGTGCCTGAGTTTAGCCTATTTTGCTCTTCTCCCTTCTAATAATGTATGGGTAGGCACAAATATAAGCACCCAACGTAGACTTGTTTTCTTCTCTGCTGTGTCCTATACACAAGAGACAGTGCTCCCTTTCAGATTGTTGTAGCTCTTCAACTGAGTGTTGCTCAGTGACAGTTTGACTCAAGCGGGAGCTGGGAAAGATGCAATAGTTCTTTACTGATTGCATAAGTATGAAGCAGTTATGCATGAAGAATAAGAAGAGAACAAAGGGGTGCTCTTTTGGTTGTTGCAAAGGAAATCTGATAATGTCATAGGAGTCTTTCATTTCAGACTTCTAAAAAATGAACTTGGTTTTCTAATAAAGAAAAAGCATCTTCACAACTAACTAGTAATGTTTTGCTCACTCGACTTCAACTAACTCCCTAATCCATTATTTTTATGAATAAAACAAAGTTTTGTTATATTATATTACAATAAAATAAAGTGCTGTTTCTCTGAGAGAGAAGACATGAAACCTTTCCTTCTGAACTGACTTACTCTGGTCCATTCTGGAATAGTCGTGCTATCTATCCCTTGGGTGTTCTTTATTTTATAGTTTCTAGTGTTTGAAACATCTTTCTTAGTTGTTGCATCACTGACCTGATAATACTTTAATTAACAATGAAGATAATACTAATAGTATTGATAATGTTGAATAACATTAAAAATACAACTCATGTAACTTTGTCAGGTGACTGAATCTGGATGCACCTATTTTCTAGATGCTTTAATCTATCAAGAAAATAAATTAAATATATTAAAACATACTTTTATGTATGGGTTTAAATATTTGCAAGACTTTGGGAAAAAATGGTAATTGTTTCCCAATCAATCTTACATAAATAAATTTTAACCTCTGAAAAGTGTTCGTTGTTGTTAACCACAGGCACTTGCATCTCAGTTATAAAGATTTAGTTGAAATCATAGTGCTATAGATATCTGCTAGAGCATACCTGGTAAAATAAGTGTGAAGTCTAAGGTAAAAATATCAGCTCTAGAAACAGTAGGAAAGTTATGTAAGCTTGAAAATTAAACTGCTCATGTTGTGTTTTGAGATTTAATGTGCATTAATGTTTGGTCTCTAAAGAATTACTTCTTGTTATTCTGCAGCATAAAAATATGTAAGAATTACTATGAGGTCCTTGGAGTGTCAAAAGATGCAGGTGAAGAAGACTTGAAGAAAGCTTATAGAAAGCTTGCTCTGAAGTTTCACCCTGACAAAAATCATGCACCGGGAGCAACAGAAGCTTTTAAAAGTAATATTTCATTATTCTTTTATAAGGAAATGCTCCAAGGCAGAACTAGCTATCACTGCTGACCTACTGATTACGTTACTTATACATCTTTTTAAAGCAGGATGTATCCAGAAATTTATTCTAATGGCAATTAAAAAATAATATGTGTGAGGATAAAAGTTCAGTCCAACTTCAGTCTTTTGTTTGCCCAAAATGACCTGTCCATTCTACTATGAGGAAAATTCAGTTAGCATACTTACAGATGTATTGGCCAAGTACCTGTTGGTTTTCATTCTACTGTTGGATACTTGATTCCATCAAGCATACTCAACCTTTGCAAAGAAGTTAGTCAGCCTGAGTTGGCGAAAGAAAATTAATTATAAGCTGTATGCTGTATATCAGCTCTAGAAACAGTAGGAAAGTTATGTAAGCTTGAAAATTAAACAGTAACCTGCTCATGTTGTGTTTTGAGATTTAATGTGCATTAGTGTTTGGTTCTGAATAAATTGTAAGTTCTGAATACATGAATGAAGTACATGTAGTCCTCACTTTACGACAATAACCAAGTCCAATTTTTTGTTAAATGAAACATTTGTTAAATGAATTTTGCCCCATTTTATGACTTTTCTTGTAACAGTTGTTAAGTGAATCATTGCAGTTGTTAAGTTAACGTGGTTGTTAAGTGAATCTGGTTTCCCATTGACTTTGCTTGTCAGAAGATCATAAAAGCTGATCACATGACTCAGAGACACTGCAGCCATCATAAATATGAACCAGTTGCCAAGCATCTGAATTTTGATCGCTTGAATATGGGAATGCTGCAGCGGTTGCAAGTGTGAAAAATGGTCATATGTCACTTTTTTCAGTGATGTAACTTTGAACGGTCACTAAATGAACTGTTGTAAGTCGAGGACTATGTATATCAAATCAGTTCTGTCAATAGGTACTGAATTACATAATGCAAATATGGGGCAGTATTACAGCTTTGTTGCAGAAAAAGCTGTGATAATGTACTATATAACAATTCAGCTACAGCTTTGGGTTTCAAGCCTTCTGCTCTAAAAAGAAATTCACTGCAGTTTTTTAAATCCTCATTCTTTGCAGCTGCTCACTCTATTTTGTGGTTTGTTTTTTTTACATTGGTTGTTATTTCTTTTGAAAATGCTAAAAAAGAGCTACAGTTACATCCTCTCTAGGTTGTAAACAGAAGAATAGGTGTGTTGTAAGACAAAATCATTTGAAAACGGGTTTAAGAATTAAAGCCATAGTAAAAGAAAAAGAACAGAAAAAGAACAGGCACTAAATAACAAAGTCATTATTTACAGTCAGTTTTGATAGCAAATCTACTTTAGCCTTCTTTAAAAGAAACTGCAGCTGCAGCATAACAAAAATGGACTTTGTCGTTTAGAATATATTTGGAAGGAATCTGTTTTCAAGATGATGGATGCTGTCTAGGGTTTCAGAGATTCTTTAATGGATTCTGCTAGATTCAAAGAGGGGAGAGCTCAAATGGTAGCAGAAGAAAGATGAACAAGGTAGAGAAAATCAGCTTTGCATTTCTCACTGATCACCTACTAAATCCAGAGTTCCCTCTGAAGGGAAGGGAAGTAAAAGGAACCATGTTTTGGAACCAAATAACACTAAATCTTTCAAAACATTACTTTGGGTTTTTAAGCCAAATTTAGCTACATCTATATCAGCCTTTTTAATTGTTTTTGTTTACCAAGATCTAATATAACTTTCCACATCTCAGGAAGAATGCTTTTTGAAGGCAAAAATATCTTAGGAATTCTAGATTTATAGAATATTTAAATTAAATAGCAAAATGTGATCAAATATGGCAGGAAAATCTATCCATCATCTTTCTTCCAAAAAGGAAAAAAAAAAGCTTTTCAAAAATTAGTTTGTCACATTTCAGGAAAAACTAACACTTTATTTGGAAGGTGATACCTTTTGACCTTCATTTCTGTTATTTACTTGTAGCATATTATGAAACTTGCTACATTTTCCAGGATAGTGTGCAGAAAACAAACATAAAAGCAATTTAAATAAAAAGAGTTACATGTAAGTTTAAACAAAATTGGTACAAAATAGAATTTCTGTCATCTCAAGATTTTTTGCACACATTACAAAACTAAGCAGTTCAGGCTGCACAATTTTTTAAAACAGATGACAGGAATGGTGCACATTGCAGCAAAATTTTATTTTGGTTTTTTCCTCAATTCCCAAAAGGGGAAAATACAGTATGCAAAATCACACATTGCATTTTCATGGCTGTTGTGTTGTGTGGAAAAAGATATTGCAAATCATGCTATCTGGGTGTATATTGAATTTTTGCTTTCTGATCCAAACATTTTGATTTTGACTTGCTGGACAGCAGTAGTCATATCTGTATTTATTTCAGATTTTTTTCTTTTTTCCTTTTACATTCTACCTTCAGAGATTGGAAACGCATATGCTGTGTTAAGTAATCCAGAAAAACGCAAACAGTACGATCTCACAGGCAGCGAAGATCCCTGCAATCAGCCAGGCAATGGTAGATTTAACTTCCACAGGGGATGTGAAGCAGATATCACCCCAGAGGACCTCTTCAACATGTTCTTTGGAGGAGCCTTTCCAACAGGTCTGTTTAGCTGACAAAAATAACATTCAAACTTTTTGTTGCTCTTGTTATCTGTAAAATTGACTTAAACTCTTTCCTAAAATAGCTTTCATTTGTAGCATTGTAGCAAAGCAATTAAATACTATGTGTGTTGACAGATTATAAATTATAAAACTGCTGTAGGACAAAAATAGAACTCTTTTGAATTGCCTCATGCAAGGATGGGCAACTTTTTGATCAACCATAAAAATGGATAATTAACATTTCTCACAAGATTGAGTATTGCAGTGAGCATGATTGCATGCAGGATGAGGAAATGTCATACAGTTTGATGGCAGTGTATTCAGGGTTTTTTTTGCAATTAAAGAGCAGAAGATAGCTTAAGGATTTTTTGTTTCTTTTTATGCTACACTAAATTTATTTTAAAGTTTATGCTATAAGTTTCTATGTCTTCTACATCTAAATAGCATCAAACTGGTTTGACAGATGTGCTTGGAGAAGGTTCTGCAGGTTACCATTCCTAGATTCAAATAAAAGGTTTCTAAAACATTATTTTTATATTTAGGTTCTCATCAGTTCCCTCTGGTTTTGTTTATAGGAAGCGTACATTCTTTTTCTAATGGACGGTCTGGGTTTAGTCACGATAATCAGCATCGTCATAGTGGACACGAAAGAGAAGATGAAAGGGGTGACGTAAGTTTCTTCTGAATAACTGTTTCCTCAGTCTAATCTGGGGTGCCTTTCTGCATATTAAATAAGTGTGCAAGTAAACAATACAAATTGAAATGCTAATAGTGCTAATATAGTCTAATCTACATGATGGATTCATATGTGTGGTTTCTGAGGAATAAAGGTTACGTGGGTTGCCCCTAAGCACCAGAGGCCATTGAGGGGGAGGGAGGAGTTCCATTTAATACAGGGATTTGAAAAGGACATTTCTGTTGAAGAACTACGCTCCTTCCTTTAAACAATTCTTAAAAGATTTTATTTAATCACCTTAATATATTGCAGCCTGATAAAAGCTGTATAATTCTGGATTGTGGCTATTTAGTGATATGGGAACATGATATTGGATCAGTTTCAAGACTTGATTTTGTAGATTGTTATTCTGTACTGTTTTCTCAGTCTGGATCACATTAATTATGGGCATAGTGAATGTTCTGATTTCAAAATTCAATTATGTCAAGGAAACATAATATTTCAGGTTCAGAAGACCAGCAAAATCATCTAATAGGGTTTTGAATTTGGAATTGTTTGAACTCAGAACATTTTACATCTATTTGGCAAACCATAGATTGTTGAGATTAGAACACATTTTGAGGAAGCCTATTTTAACCCAAGGTAATGGGTTTTAAACATTGGTAAGTTACAATTAAACAATATTAAACTTAAAAATAGATTATTAATATCACAAGATTTATTAAGATGCACAGATTTCAGATGGTTTTAAGAAATGAATTTATAGGAATCTGCTATAGATACACATTTTCTGTTTAGCTTTTATGGGCCGGATAGATTCCTTTCAGTTTTTAAAAAAATAACAAAATATCCTGCAATTCTTTTCATCGATTGTTGTCTTGTTTTCCAGGGAGGGTTCTCCATGTTCATTCAGTTGATGCCAATTATTGTGCTGATCTTTGTTTCTTTACTTAGCCAGTTGATGGTATCTAATCCTCCTTATTCCTTATATCCAAGATCGTAAGTAACAATACTTTATAATTATCTTTATCGCTCCTACTTTGTTAAGTCACCAACTATAAATAATTCTCATTTATTTCTTGCATCTTCTTTTACCATTCTTTCCTTCCATTCCCTCTTTGGCCCTATCCCCAAAATAACAACTGGGTATATATAGGATATTTATTTTTTGGTACTATATTTGATGAACCTGAAATGGATTGTAGTCCACAAAATATATTCATAAATACTTAAAAAATACATAAGACTCTTTGTCCTTTTACAAAAGAGCAACTTGTCTATAAAATTGCTATTTTAAATTCATTCTGTTGGTTCTACATTGTTTAGGTCTTGTTTATAGCAACACTTTTTTCTCTGTTGTATGCATCAAATCAGTAACAATCCTATTTTGTAACAAGGAGGAATGCAATCTTTTCCTTTTGTACATTTTTGTACTGTAGATATTGATCTAAAAACCTGATATAACTAATTAAAAATCCAGGTCTCCTCGATAGCACGATGGAGGTAGATGATGCTGTCTAATTAAATGTTGTGACCATGCATGGATTTAAGTTAGAAATGAAAAAGATACGAAAGACATTCTATGGTTTTATTGTTTATCAAATTTACTATCTGAATGACTCTGGGCAGTTTATAGGTAAAAGCTATAAAACAATATGAAAAAACATGATTTAAAAAAACAGAGTTTAAAAAGTGAAGGAGCACTTCAAGACACCAGTCACCTCCAAGGTTGCATGCCACTCTTGTGTTAAAATCAAATGTTCGATTTTTAGAACTGGAATTCTGGGTGATGGCAATGAAGGAAAGTTTGCATTTGTGAGAAATAACCAACTTGCTAGTTTGAATTGTTTTAAACAATACATTTTTGTAGCTATTTCTGATAGTGTTACTAACGTTGATTAATGTAATTGTATATAACAGTAATTGGCAAATGTTGCTGTATTAAAAGCTAAATTCCAATTGCACGCTAGGATAGTGCCTCTGGCCTCATAATTATTATTATTTTTTAAACAAATTTTTATTGATTTTAAAAACAAACAAAACATAAGACATCAAAGTATAAAACCTCCTTTCTCAAAAATTACTTATAAGTTTTAACAAGGCAAATAAAGCATTATTTTTTAAAGCATAGTTCCACATTATCACATTTCCATTTAAACACATATATATCTTTTCCAAATTTCTCATTGTTTCTCCCTTCACTTTTATTCAATTATATTTCTTTCTATCAAGGTTTTATTAATTCTCCATCAAGCATAAACACACAAAATACAGAACATAAAACAAGACATAAAAAGATAAAACCTTCTTAATTATTATTTATACATGTCTTTTCCAAATTTCTCTCCCTTTAGTTTTATTCCTCCAAGGTTTTATTAATTCACAATCAAAACATAGCTAACCAAAACACAAAACATAAAACTTCTTTTGAAAAGTGGCTTAGCCCGGGGTTACATCTTTTTTTACAGACCTAAATCAAATTCATGCTCACCTTATATACCATTCATATCTTATTAACCATTCTATATTTTCTATATAACTTCTCCCTTCTTTTCACTCTCTTAATTATAATTTGTTTATTTCATCTTATTTCAAAATCATTATGTTTGTATCTTTTGTCCGTTCTTTTCCAATCATCTATTTATCTCTTCTCTTTAGCAAAGAATTTCCCCTGTAATCACTTTTAAGGTGTGACGCCTTTCCCTAAAGTAACACTTAAAATAATACATAATTTCTATCCTGATTCTGCTTAGTACATTCTACATGTTGCATTTTGGGGAAAAAAAGAATAATAAACTTATAATATAGTTAAGTATATAATTTCCATTCTAATTCTATTTAATAGTATAACTAAGCATTAATCATTTTACACATTCTCTTTAATATTTTATTAAATATTGAAATCTATCATTATAAAACATTTTAATATTTTAATATTTTGTTAAATCTTATAGTATTCCAATAGACTATTTCAAATGCAAATACTACAATACTATCTTATGTACTCTTGCAGAATCTTTCTTAAATTATACACTATTCTTTATCCTTTATCTATAAAAAAGATATCTTGTTTCAGACCGTGGCTTCTTTTCCCTTTTTCCCTCCCTTTCTTCTCCAGTCTGATCCTTTTGCCCCCCCCCCTCTTCTAACCTCCACCTTTTTAGCTTCCCCTCTCTGTTATAATTCTCTTTTCAATTGCTTTCTAACATTGTACCTTTTTTTCACCTTATTTTTCTTTTTCTTGGTTTTATTGAATCTTAAATTCTCATTTTTCCTTCCTCTCTTCCTATTTTGTTTCTTAATCAAACTTTTTTGTCCATTAAAAATGGCTTCCTTTTCTTCTTCTTCTTCTCCTTCTTCGTCAAGTATTTGCTGGTACATAGAAACCGCCATTTCTAAAAAGTGGAAGACAGCTCCCAATGAATTCTTGCCACTTTGTTCTCTTAATTTTTCATATTCCATTTTTAGTTGATCCACAGATGGTGCCATTGTAAATTTTTAAGAACAACCCAGATGTTTTTAGTCTTAAAGTAATTTGCAAATATCAAAGTTATCAAACAATCCAAACAGCCAGAGATTATTTCCTCTTCTTCTCTTTGCAACTTTTCCTGGGGCAAAATCCCAAATATATTTTAAAGCCGTATTGCAATTAGTTGTTGGTCTTATAATCTTCAAAGCGTCTCCTCCAATCAGTTTTTAAAGATTTTTTTTAGTCCTCTCCTTCCCACTTATAACAAAGAGCTTGTTTTTACCTTAAAGAAGCAGGTTTTTCTGTGCTCATTTGCTTTCTCCGTAAGGAAGGGGAGTGAACTTTCCTTCAGCACTTTCGCTGCTGTAGCAACTTTTTTTGGAAACAAATGTATCAATCCAAAAGTCAGGTTTCCAGAGTGTTTTAAAAGTAACTTGTGTTTATGTGTATTTATGTATTGTTTGTCTTGAAAAATAAAACTTGTTTTAAAAAAAAAAAAAGTAACTTAATGTCCCTGTTCAGCCAAGAAAACGTCTCCTTCTGTCTTCCTTCTGCACAGTCTTATCCAGTTGAAGATTCCTTTATGGCTGCCATTTCTGACAGCCGCTCCACCGCCTCAGGAAAAAGGAGTCTAGACGGCTGGGGAGGGGGGGTGCGATATCCCCAGACCCCTGCCCGGATCTCCTCTGTCTTCCGCTGCCTCTTCGGGGCAGCGACAACCCCCAAATCCAGTTGGATCGGGGGTACCTCAGCGGTGAGCGCAGCAGGGACCCGCAGAAAAGCGGATTCCTGCCGCCGCCGAAGCCTTGCAACCGGAATTGGCCTCATAATTATTGAGGCAGTGAATAACTAATGCAATATTAGTGGATTTCTAGATTTGCAGCAGTAATTATTTGCTTGGAAATTAAATAGTAAATGAATAATGTACATTATAGATTTGAAAGTCTTCTTGCTTTTCTTTACTAACTGTAGACTTTGAAGAATGCACCCATGCTGACAGTTGATATCGAATCTCTTTACAGGAGTTCAGGGCAGACTATCCAGATGCAGACAGAAAATCTGGGTGTTGTTTATTATGTCAACAAGGACTTTAAAAATGAATACAAAGGTCTAAATTTGCAAAAGCTGGAAAAGAGTGTAGAAGAAGACTATGTTTCAAATATTCGAAATAACTGTTGGAAGGAAAGACAACAAAGTAAGTTTTAACAGCTGACATTGAACATTTTCTCAAATATAACTATAAAGAAGTAGTGGGGAATTTCCTGAGCAATCTTGGCTGGATTGTTGGAGAAAAAATCCCTCCAAATTGTCCATAATTCACAGAGATTATATCAGTTGAATTCTTCTAGCACTACCTTTTTGGCATTTTATATAAAACTAGAGGTTACGTAAGTTCCATGTATCATTTACAAAATTTCCAGTTCTGTTTTACCTCAGTCATGATTACTTCGTGATTCTCTTCATTTTGCCTCCCCCTCCCCTTTTTTTTTTTTCAAATATGAGGATAAAAATAGCAATAGTGTTTAAACTTATGTACCACTTCACAGTGCTTTACAGCCCTCCCTAAGAGGTTTCCAGAGTCAGCCTATTGCCCCCAACAATCTGGATCCTCATTTTACCAACCTCAGAAGGATGGAAGGCCTGGTGAGATTCAAACCACCCTTTAGCCTGGTGAGAGTCAAACCGCCATATTGCAGGCAGCCAACAGGCAGCAGAAGTAGTCTGCAGTACTACATTTTAACCATGGCTACTATTGATAACTTTTCTGTATATTGTTAAACTAATTTGTGTAGAACTGCCTTCTATTAATTTAGTTCTTTGAAAGCACTAGAGTATGGAATAATGGAGTAAAAACTCTTGAGAAGGTCATGTAAACTATAAGTCCCTCGGAAGCATTGTAGCATTGGTGGCCAAGAAGCATTTTTCCTCACTACTGTTGCATCCTTGCAGTATCTATTAACTTCTTCCAAACAGCATAGCTTTTAACATTTTGGTCATTGTAAAAGTTCAATGCTATTTTTTACTATCATTTGTTACCGTTTGAACAAGATAATGATTGCTGATGAAGAAAAAGAGTTGTACAGAATCCCATTTGGTAGAAGTTTGATGAATGACATTTTTCTTCTGTATTGGAAATTGTAGTCAAGATGCTTGGTGAAGCCTTATTTTCTCTCTTTGCATACTTACCAGCTAAAGACATGAACTATGCACAAGGCATGTTTCTAATGAAAAAAAGCATAATTACATGCTGCTTAGGAGAGATGATTCTGTAGCAATTCCTAATGAAACATTTGAACTCAATTCCAATAGTAATAATAATAATAGCAATAACTAATAGCATATATGCACTTCCTAACCAAGTGGTTTATAAGCCACTTTCAAGCGTGGTTGAATAAAGTTGGTTTTCTGGGTACCTTTCAGTTATAGGTTTAATTGCTATGTGAGTTGTTATTTGCAAGGCAAGAAATTGAGAGGCTACAATTTTGTTAATATTCTGGTGCTGTACAGTTGAAGCTATATTTTATATTAATCATTGGTTCAGCTGCTAAGCTTCTTTCAGAAAGTAGAGTTGAATTTCTACTGATTTTCCTGCATTTATTTATATTTTGTTTGCAGAATTCTATCTTACATATTAAAATGCACATTTTAGTAATTACATACAATTATTGAATAAGGTCAACCAGAGGTTTCATATAGCACCTAACCCTAATTCTTTTTATGGTTAATCTGCTTGAGTTGATGGAGATATAAACTGAAGTTCAGTCCAAGCAAATGGGTAGTTTCTGTATTCAGTTGAATAACTGATTATGATATATATACAGAAATCTATCTGTAAATTTACATCATAGTAAAAAATAAGTAAAACATATTTAAAGCAACATGTAGAAGATTAAGATCAAAGCAACATTTCTATTATTCATAATTTGGATGGGCATCTTTTTCTCTGTCAAAATCTACAAGCTATATTTAATGGAATGATAATATTCCCTTTATCCATTTCTATTTTTAATGAAAACAGATATAAAAATATTTCACATTAAAAAGTAAATAGATTATAGATTATGAAATAGAAGAGACCATTTTGTTACTTGGCAATATGTGGAAGAACCTAGACTGGGGAAGAAGCTGTTTAAATTTGATTTTCTGACATATTTTTTCATTTATTTTTAAAGAAACCGATTTACTCTATGCAGCAAAAATTTATCGGGATGATCGCCTACGAAAGAAAGCAGAAGCTATTTCCATGGACAACTGCAAAGAGCTAGAACGATTAACCAGTATCTATCGAGGAGGATGAGCTAAATTTTTGACCTATACTGCTTGAAGTACATGCTTTCTAAGAAAAATACTATTTCATCATGACAACTGAAAAGGAGAGATGTAAAAAATTCACTCTGTAGCTATTTCCAAAACCTTACCCTGAAGTTTCAGTATCATTTAATAGCCTCTTTGTGTAGTCTGAAACATAGGACAACGATTGTTTGCATCATTGAATTGTCCTTAATATTTTACTCCCAAAACTTCTGAACTTTTCCACAAGAAAGAAAGCATTTTGGACAAGCACTTCCACTAGAAATGTAGATGTAGTGGTTCTCTTATTCAAATACTTGCCATGTAAATATATGTGAGACAATTACTTATATGTATATAAAAATGTTATGGACATCTGAAGGCATTTAGAATATTAAAAGTTTCAATCTTAATAGGTGGAATAAATAATATGACTACATTATTATTCAGATGTCAGGTAGGTGGAACTAAAGAAAATTGAGGTTTTAGGTTTCTTTTTTCATTTATTTTCTCCTCATTAACAAAATTAAGATCGGTGCTGGAAGAGAGAAATGTTGCATATTGAATGTACTTGAGTTCCTAATAGCAGAATATTTTGGTATTCCAAAAGAAATCAATTAAGCAAAAGCTGTTTTTCAGGCTCCTCCTTAGTTTGATTTTTATTTCACTTTTATTTAAATAATAATCATCCAATAATTTTTTTTAATCAGCTCCAATTTCTATTTTGCTATCAAAAATCAGTTAAGACAGTTGTTCTTAAAGTTCAGCCTTGTGCCTTTATTTTGTGGTTAGTTGGTTCATCTTATTTCTGAATTGTTGTCATCAATATTAATAGAAGGCATGGTCTTGTTCAAGGATGTTAGATAAAGTCATACTGTAGCAAGTTCAGGTCACATGTATATGAAGGGTTGGCACTAACGATAAAAGTGATCTAAAGATCATTTATGACATACTGCTTATATAACCACTTTTGCCAGTTTAAATTTAATGTGATTTTGAAAGAACTGAAGATAAGACATGGAATTTCAGAACTGAATTTATATGTTTATAAGCTACCATATAACTAATACAGAAAAATATTTATTTTTTACAGCCAATGTGGGATAGACTAGAAAGTAGCTTTCACATGAATCGGCACATCACTGTAAAATAAGGATGCCATTTTTAACTGAAAGATAGTACTTCAGACTTATTTCAGTGAAATAACTTGCATTGTGGTCTGCTACCTATAAAGTTTAGTTTTGAAAACCTGTAATTGTTCATAGGTGGCGCTTAAATTTCTTAGTACTGACTCATAAGGTCACATGAACAGTTTCATTACTGCTAGGGAACAAAAGCCTAACCAATATGTGAGGGGCTTTTCTTTTAAACAGATAAGTATAAAGCCACATTGTTTCAGAACTGCTATTTTAATAGTATTTCAACATTTTTGTAAAAAGAGAGAAATGTGAAATGAGTTTTGGGTAAAAAAAGCATTCTGGGAACATTCCCATTAGAACATTTGTTAGATAGCAAGTTTCTTTGTTGTTCTGAATTAGTTTAAAAATGAAATTCAGTTATGAACTTCACTGAAAAAAGCAAGCCTACTGTAATCTTATTTTCCTTCATCTGCAGTCAAATTGTTAGATAAATAGTATATGTAAGATTCTGTCAAATTATTTTAGTTATGTCTTCAGTTTTATAGAGGAATAAACAATACAGATTCCCTGTAATTTTAGTTATCTATTTCATTAATGAATTCAGCTTATTTTGAAGATCACTCAGGCTTTAGAGTTGCAAAAAAATTGTTTTTAATTTTGTGCTAAACTTAATATCATTATAACCTTAAGTTCCATATGAATACACCAACCTTGGTCTCTATCTGTTCCTCATAGAAAGAAATGGTAAGGACAGAAATAGAAAACATGGTAAATCAATTATTTAAAATGTGAATATTCAAAATTTTGTAAATTGGTTCTAAAATCAATTTAGATCACCTAATGTCTCATAAATGCTCCTTCACTTAATTCCAAGTAAAGAAGTTACAATGAATTCAATATTTTCTATAAATTCATGATTGCAAGTGTAGATAGTTTCATAACTTCCACACGATTATTTTTATTTGAATTGCATATTGGAACTGCACAGGAGCCTAACTAAATGTTGTGTGATAAATTTTTACAATAACATGTTCAAAAATCATTAAGCAAACTTGGACAAATTTTCCAAGTAATCTGAAGTTAAATGCATTCATGGTACTGGAATTTAACAGATTCTGCATTGATAGAGAAAGCTTTGAAAACCTGCAGTTTAGCCAGTAAATAAGCTGAATGTATATAAGACACTTCTGTGGTCATCAAAAATACTTGGTAACTTTCATTTGTTAGCTGATTTTCAAGATTTCCATAATCAATCTATGGGCTTGGATCTAAAGATGCATTTTCATTAGGAAGTTGTATTTGAAAGTGACTCTCTTTATATTGATTTTTCTCACCTGCTGCAGCTCACAATATACAGTAATACTTTATCTTAATCTCTTAAAAGCAGGTGCTTAGAAAATTGCTAGTAAGAGTAGTAGAAAGCCTGCTTGTTCAAATTGTGCCTCTAAAATCCAAGCCCACAGTGCTGAAATAAAACGGTGAAATTAATGGAACGTTCTCAAATAATATATGAGATTTGGATCTCCAAGGGTGAACTACTAGTTTATAACAGACTAATTAGCCCTATTTATGTGCAGATATATACTAGAATGCTTATACTTACAAATTGTATTAATTTATCCCTCTGGTCAGGGTTAAGGACGTAGTAAATTATGATGGTTATTTGCATCATACCTTCCTTTATGTTTCTAGAATTGGGATAATATTTGCTATATATGAAATGGATACATAATTAAGCTTCAATTTTCAAGAACATTTATTTTGCTAGAGGTATTTTCCTCTAGGATTAATAAGTGGAAAGCATATTAAATAGCATTAGTAATAATTGAAAACATGGACAGTATTTCACTTTAAACATAGCTTTCAACTATCATTTTAATCAGGATTTACTGCTAGGGAACAAAAGCCTAACCAATATGTGAGGGGCTAGTTTACATAACTAAGTTTTATCTTCATTATTAAAGAACGTATATTCTTTAACGTGCTGATTTAATTGGGCTGTGACCTGATTGCCTTACACTTTTTATTTTTACTTGAAAATAGTCACAAGGACTATAAATTTGATGACGGAACTTTTCCAGGTACAGAAGCGTTAAATCATTTCCATGAACACCCTAATCTCAATTTACTCATTTTATTACCAAATCATTTTTTTTTTAGTTTTGGAAAAAATAAAGGGGTTTATATTAGTTAAAGAACAAAGGAAAAATAATTTTAAAAAGTCTTTCACCATCACAGCTATTCCAGCCAAAGATGAACTTCTTTTGAATGAATAAAAAGTTGGAAGATATGTTTATAGTTCTCTTGCAAATTGTCCAGTTCTATTTTCCATTCTACAGGTTACTTTAGTTTAGAGTTAGGGCATTTTGTATTCCTTTGACCTAAATGTTTCATGAATGGAAGGGTTACTGGCTTCTTTTAAGTTGCTTTGATATATTAAAAAAGAACAGTTTCAAGCTGTTGTTTCTTTCTTTAGAATGTCAGTTACAATCTCTGCTTACTGCTTCACTGCTTTAAATGCTGCAGTATACAATACTGTTTCCAGTTTTCAAAGCATTAGGGATAACTGCACGAGACAATGTGGCTATGATTTAATGAGCTATAATCCTTAGCAAAACCAAACTGGACTTCTGCTACTAAAAAATACAAAATATTCTTATTTCAAAATAATTTAAAACAAATATCAAAAGCTCTCTTCTAATACATCAAGAAACAATCCATCAAAATAAATGGAGCAATTGAGGGACAATCATATTTGATATGATAGGCAGATCTTGCAGTACAAGAATCTTTTACAGGCATAAAAATTCTATTAATAGCAACCTTACATGAACGTTTAAGCATGTGCTAAAACATGGATGATTGCTTTTTGTGAACACAAATCACCTGCTTAGGTTTCTGGATGGGCTTTTCCAAATCAGCCCCATGGAAATTAATACAGGCCACTCTACAAAAGTGCCTAATAAATTAGGGCCTCAAAGATTTAGATTACAACAGTTTTTCTGATTTACAACAGATTTTCTGATTTGCTGAATAACAGCACATCTCTAGATCATATGCCAGCTTTGTTAGAATTTTGATTTAAAAACAATATGCCTTACATTAAGGATTATGTTAAGGTTGCATATTTATATTTATTTATTTTGTTAGGTTATATATTTTCTTTATTTCTTTTCACTGCACCGAAGTCTTTTGGTTTGGGAACTGCTGCTCTTATAAATGACTAGGTATGTATGTATGCATCTGCGTATTGCTGTATGTATTTCCTAGTATCATACCTCCAACTTGTGATTGTATAATATTGTATGACTAAACATGTGCAGAGGATAGGACAAGTAGTAGGGATTTGGATGTCATGACAAGAAACATTTCCTAGAAATTGTCATTCCTTTTCTTGATAATCTTGCCCACTGAAAGGATACATCACTTGCAAAGAGAAAGTAGAAAAACAGAATCTTAATGGTGGATTGCTCAGTGTAAAGGTTGTGTGCAAATTCTTCAGTAAATATTACCTATGCTCATAATGATAGTTTGCAATAAGAACCTCAATCTGTGGTTTCATATCATGTCATTAGCCGATTTTAGTGCTAGTTCAGGTTTTTCAGATATGTTCAAATGTCTATGTTTGTATATGGGAGAACATTCTGGATGAGGAACAATCAGAACGAAGAGCAAGTCAATTCTCTTTTCCTTCTAAATTTCTCTCAAACTCTAAACAAATTTTCTGAAGGAGATATTCATGTAACACAGGAAGAAAACAGTTTGGTCATATGGGCAAACATTTGCTCATGAAACTTCGGATTTCACCATCTAGAACAGTGGTGTCAAACTCACATTGTCATGTGACATATCAGGACTTTTTTTCCCTCTTCGCTAAACCAGGCGGGGGTAGGGCCAGCACGTGACTCATCCAGCCCTTGGGCTGTGAGTTTGACACCCCTGCTCTAGTAGTTCTTACAGAATCTAGTGTTAATTAAACGTGTGTAGATTTGCTTTTTTGCTAAAGCTATACTTATTTTTCCATTTGAATAAAGTGAAATAATAGAGAGGTCTTACCAACAGACATTTCTTAACTATTTGCTAACCCTTCACATAACAATCAGACAATCTGTAGTTTGTTCATGAGGTTTTATAAAACTTGATTAAATATGCAGGTTTTAGTTGGAAGGGGTGCTCCCTGAGTATAAATAAATTTATTTTCAAGTAAATACATTTAGAATTTGTTTGATCTGTTTTGTCTGCTTTAAAAATATAAATGGACTTCAGTGTTAATTCTTGGAAGACCTGATAATGTTTTCAAACCAAGCTTTAAAAATCTGTCAAAGATGCCCAGTAACAAAAATCCTTTAAAATTTAGAATGGCATCTTACAAAAGAAATCTTATTTTATTTATCTGTACATTTATGGTTAGGAATAAAAAAATAAAATTTTAATTTGTAATGTACCTAATATCAGACTTATATCAAAATAAAACTATTTTCAGTGTGAATAGACTGTATCTAATTATTTGCCCAAACACATTCAGATACTAGCACAGTACATGGAAGCAACAGCACAGAGACTAAAATTCTCTTAAATCCTAAATCAGAGTTTACAATTCATAATGTTTAAACAAAAACTGTAAGTCAAATTAAGCCATCAAGTTAATGTGGTTTGTTTTGGCATACTATGTCAATATAAGTGTGTTTGTCAAATACAGTTTAATCTGTTGGGCAAACAAGTCTTATGCTAATCAGATACCTTTTATTCAATGGGATTAAAAAAATCAGATATTTTTAAAGTATTCTCAGTTTATATTTGAGTTAGTCCTGCTATGCTATAAAAACAATTTATTACATTTACAGAAGAAAATTTGATCAACAGAATATCTATTGTGCTTTTCTCCTGTGTAGCCATTAGTCTTGGTTTCCATGCTATATTCCAAAGATTCTCCCAACCTTAAGAAATTTAAAAGGAAGAAGAGAAAAATGATTACATGTTCAGTGTGAATATGTTTCTGCAGCCTTACTTATCTGCACAGAGGACAAACAAAGAATAAAATATAACAAAATTTGGATAAAAAAATAAAATGACTTTTTGCATGACAGAATTACTTCTCATAGCAATAGTTGCTGTTAAGAACTTGGTAACTCTGTTCATAGCAGGTTTCTAGCCTGAACGAACAAACCACTTCTTCATTGAAAGCTTGGTCACTAATAGGAGGTAGTAAAGGTATACCAACAAGTAAGTTCTTAAAGAAGAGGCATGAAGAAATAATGGACTAAGGTCTCAGGTTCATTCATTAAATTTTATAAAAACTCCCATCCAACATTAACATTAAAGTAGGCCAAAAAGGGTTCTAGAGTGTGTTGAACAAACCAGATTGAACAGATAGTTTACAGGTTTAAAAGGTTTTCAGGAAGGAACCCATTCAGTTGCCTATAGTCTTAATGGCAATTTTTAAAAAAACCAAATATTGGCTTTGGCTTTTTCTAGGCCTAGTAAGGAGTGAATGAAAAGAGCCAATAGAAAATAGAACCTTGAGCCAATAAGAGGCAGCATATCCAAATCCTCACCTGCAGTAGGATCATTCCTGTTACTATGCAAATAGAAAATGTGGAACTGAACCTGGAACCTATTGTACAAATGCACAATGAGTGAAAAAAAATCAGACAATATACATGTAATTCTTTATGTTTCAGTTTTCATTTATATTCAGTATAATTATGTGGAGATAGGATTATTTTCACAGCAAAATGCTTTTAAGCAGCCTGTCCTATTTAGGGGCCTTTGGCATCCTAGTCTTTTCCGATGCATCTCAAACTACAGAACACTGGCTTCCCCCCCCCCCCCCCTCAATTTCAGATGGCTTTCGCAAATTTTTACTTTTGAAATCTTTATTGAATACCTACGCAATTCATTATAGTGGAGAAAGCCCTGTTTCTCACAACAAAACAGGGTTCCAAGTTAAAAAAATGACTTAGATCCAAGTGTGGAGGAAAAAGAAACTGATCAGGAAAAATATTCCTCCAAACTTTGAGCCACCAGTAGCATTTCTGCCCACCATTCTGCCTTAAAATGGAAGGCTTAGGACAATTGAGCCCAGAATTTATGTTGCAAAGTGAGAAATTTGCTATGTGAGTTTTGCCCCATTTTACGACTTTTCTTGCTGCATTTGTTAAGTGAATCACTGCAGTTGTTAAATTACTGAGAGGGTTGGTTAAATGAATCTGGCTTTCCCATTACTTTGCTTGACAGGTCACAAAAGGGGACCATGTGGCCCCCCTCAGGGGTCTGCAATGGTCATAAGTATGAAAACTGGTCCTAAGTCACTTTTTTCAGTGCTGTTGTCGCTTTGAATGGTCACTAAACAAACTCTTGTAAGTCGAGGACTACCTGTACTGGAGCTACTTAGAATGGAATGAAAACTAAGTTGGGAGCCAGGAAGATCGATCACCCACTGAAAAGGTTTGATCATTTTGTCTAAAATTCCCCTTGTTAAGACACTAAAAGTCTGTTGATTATTTTCTCGATCATTCAGGTCATGGTTGTCCCGAAGGTGCTTTTTTCAGGAGGTAACGACTTTTTTTTTTTTTTCTTTTGAAGATGTTTGACTTGTCATCCAAGAAGCTTCTTCAGCTGAGAGGAAAATGGGAATGGAAGGATTTATATTCCTTGCAGACAGCTGGTCATTTGCATCCTTTTAGTGGGTAGTTGAAGCACTTAGAGGTTTACCTATGTCCTCAGGGTCACCTAAGTGGTGGGGTCTTGCTTCCCGTAGTCTGCAATTGGTGTGGGAGTAGGAATGAATTTCTAGGGGGGGAAATGCAGATTACAGGAACCAGGAGCACTACTCAGGTGACAGTGAGGACACATAAACCTCCAGGTGCTTCAACAACCCTCTAAAATGATGCAAATGACCAGCTATCTGCAAGGAATATAAATCCTTCCATTCCCCACCAGCCAGTCAGAAATGATTAAGGTTCTTGGATGACAAGTGAAACATCTTCGAAGAAAAACACAAAGTCCAGTTGCCTTCTGAAAAACCACCTTTGGGACTTGTTAGACACTATCATCCTTTGTGCCGGGAGTGGAAGTCCACACATCTTAACATGAGGCAGGTTAAGCGAAACTACTGTACGCTACCCAGCTACGTTGACTGCTCACACATTCATCTTTTTCGGTTGTTTCCCTCATCTCCACAACCCCCCTCGGCACTCCTCTAACGCTCCCGCCCTTTTTAGTCTCTCTAGCAACGTCGCCTACGCCAAGCTGGCTGAGGAATTCTGGGAGTTGAAGTCCACCAGTCTTAAAGTTGCCATGGTTGAAGACCCCTGGTCTACGCAACGTCCAAGTCACGTGAGAGATGGAAAGCCTCTTCTCGCTCTCTCAAGACCCCACCCCTTTTTTAAGTATCTCTAGTCATCTCCGGGCTAAGGGGGGCGCCTGACCGGATGTGACGAGTCACGTGAGGGATAGGCGTCGTCGAGAGTCACATGACGACGGGAAACCCGGAAAACGACTCGGGCGCAGTATAAGGTCGGCCGAGAAGAGCGTTAAATGCTGGAAGGGAGTGGAGGTTCGTATGGGGGAAGAGCGGTTGCCGTATTCCGAATGCCCCGAGGGAGGCGGCGGGGCGGGGCGGGGCGTGTCGTCCTCCTCACGTGGTTTGATTTTTCTTATTAGGACTCCTTACCCTCTGAATATTTAGGGCGATGAGAACCTCCTTGTGCCCCCTTTCCCGGGAGGACAAGAATAGTCCGATCAGACTCGGGAAATGCCCGGCCGCTTCATCGCCCCGAAAACCTCGTTGCTCCTCCCCAAGATATTTCTCATTCTGTACATCCGCCTTATTTGGGTTGCTTTTTTACTTCCCTTTTCTTCCACACACATACATACATACATACATACATACATACAACAATTTTTTGAATTGTTTGAAAAACGAATTTTGAAAACAGTTACTACCAACCAGCCTTCCATTGGGGACGTATACTGCACAAGTCAAAAAGAGGGCTGTGAAAATATTGTTTTTAAACTGTTTAAATCCTACCCTCAAAATTAGCACTGCACACCAAAACAACTAGACACAAGGACATTTTTTTCCCCAAATGCCATCACTCTGCTAAACAAATAATTCCCACAACACTGTCCAACTATTTACAAAGTCTGCACTACTATTACTATTAATTTTCTCATCACTCCTTATCACCCATCCCCTCCCATTTGTGACTGTATGACTGTAACTTTGTCTCTTGTATCCTTACAATTTATTTGATTGATTTGATTTGATTTGATTGCTTATTCTACCCTATGACTATTATTAAGTGTTGTACCTTATGATTCTTGATTCTTGATGAATGTATCTTTTCTTGTATGTACACTGAGAGTATTTGCACCTTGTGTGTCCAATCACACTTGACCAATAAAAGAATTCTATCCTATTCCTATTATATTCTATATACCACAAGAAGAACAGTGCCAGGACATTAAGGGCAAGTTTTCCATAAAGCAAAATCTCACAGAATCAAGAAACCAGGTCCACCCCCACCCCAAATTCTTGCTTTCCAGCAGCTTGCTTCATCACAAAATTCTTTTCTTGTCAATGGTTTCCCAGCTGGGAATCGAACCAGGAAATTCCTTCCAACAATCCAATGGAGAGCCCAGAGAAAATTGGCCAAGGGAAAACCACCCATGCGGTCATTATTTATTTCAATATTAATTGAATTCAGTATTTGAATTCACAAAAGGTTTGACTTTTCCAAATCCAGAATTCAAAAAGTTATTCCTTTTTGCATGATCATGGAAGTGATCCCTGTGGACATGGTCACTGAAGTTTCTCTGTGCTTCATAATGGGGTTGATGTTTGCCATTATCTGTAGGGATTATTTCTTTTCTAGCATTCCTTTCATTTATCTTATTTTGAAGCCTAAGAAAGCAAAGCTTTCCACCTAAGAGGTAAAAGGTACCAATGACCCTGGTTAAGGTAATTGATACCAAACTTGAGAAGCACAGATTGACTCAGTGCAGCTTTCCCCAGCATTTTCTGGACTAGAGGGACAGATGTCAGGGCTGTATAGAACTCCAAATTCAATGGCGGGGGGAGGAATAAATTGGACTGTGTGAGGGCTTGTACTTTGCATCTGTTGGCAATTCATATTTTCCTCAGTGTTGTGAAAAAAATCACCCATTCAGATTAGAAACCAAAACATTTTAAAATAAAATGTGCTTACAGGGAGATAGGATGGAACTGGAATTTGGAAATAGATTGTGCAGACAGAGGGAGAGAGGGTCCCACAGGCAACACTTCTACATTTATAAATTATACATTTATCAAATACATTTGAAAGAGAACAGAACAAATACAATTACACTGCAATCTTTCTTCTGGAATAGATTAATGAGCCATTAAATTGACTCCCCTATTAAATTGCACACTTGTAATAGCTTTCCTGATATTGACATGTACAATAAACAATGTTGTTTATGTTGTAGTCTCCTTTACATCATTCAATTTCTCCAGCCTAGAAAGACAGTGGTCTGGTTTATTTTAACTGTCTCTAGCCTGGGGTCAAGTATAGGCACTAAGTATACAAATACATTCCTGTCTATTAGCTTCATAAAGAATCATATTTAAATATATGGGTATGTGTATTTAATTTTATTATACCTCCACATGAGCTTGTACAATGGCTCCCAGAAAAAGATGTGTTTGAATTAAGGTAGTGTTAACAATTATAACATGCATACCCACACATTTTTATAAGTTAACATGACTAATAACATATTTAAAAGAATGAAAAAAATAAAGGATAATTGTTTACAAGGCTGACAAGGATAAACAGGCAAAACAATAAAAAAGCATCTCAGTGGGGCATCTAACCTCCCAAACCCAAATCATTTTTTAACCTTTGAATCCAGATCATTGTGCAGCCCAGTGCAGCTATGTTTTGCTTGCAATACAAACAGCAGAGAGTCTGATATCACTTTAAAGATGAACATATTATCTTTTCTAAACATATATCATTTTGGCTTTTCAGTGAGCTGGCAAGTCATAATTTTTTGAGTATCATGGCAGATGTAAGTACGAATATCCTTTGAATGATTGGAAACTTTTTTGTAACAAGTTACATACTGAACAATTTCTACTGATGTTTATGGTATATTTATTTTGCTTATTCTAGTAGTCTATAACCTATATTGAATTAGTAATTCATGAGTAATTGGTTCGAATAGGAGGAACAATCTGCCCGTATGGCAGCTTAATAATTCAAATGCACTCAAAAATGTTGCCAAGAAGCTTGGGATGAGAAGGTCATGAAGGTTTACTTGTTTGCCTATGATTATTAAGCTTATGATCCTGGCAGTATTTAGGAATTACTGCCAATTCCTAAACAAATATCATCCTTTCTAATGACAAAGCATTGTTTCTCCAAAATCTAGTTTAATTCAAACATTTAGGAGTATGATCTCTTATAAGTAATATAAATGACTAAAAAAACTGCTTGCTTTGTTTCACTCTAGGATTTGAAAAGGTTCCTGTATAAAAAACTACCAAGGTAAAATACTTATTTTTATACCATCTAGGCATGTAAACTTATCAGTGTAAAAATGCTCTGAGTAATTTCAAAAACCTCTTGAAATGATCTTGCAATTCTTCCCATTCTTTTCTGATGCCACTAGTTGGTTCACTTGAATGTTATTGCAGGATGACATTAGTTTTACCAAAGGGCCCCCAAGTTACTATATGAAGTATGCAGATGCAGGTCCATCTGGCTGTTTCTTCTAATCCTTTGGTCAAATATGTAACTGCTTCTGGGCAATCCCTGATTATAAAACCAGAGACTTGGGTTACCCCCAGCTGAAATAAATAGCATAAGAAGTATCCATCTGCCAGAGGATTTTGAATTACTTGTTGAATGGCAAATTATGGGTGTTTGTGCTGCAGAGGGAAGAATAGTAATGGTTACTTTTAAAGCTAAGATTTCTTTTTTGACAGCCCCAAATTACAAACTGCAATCTGATGTATATAGGAAGAAGGGTGTGGGTTGTTTTTTTCCAACCCATCCTTTTCCATTACAGCCCTGGCTGATGTAGTACCAGAATGCATAGTATAGATTAGAAGGTGGATAAAAGCAGAAATATAGATCATCCATTTCCTAGTGGAGATTTCTTTTTCCTGCTTGTTAAGAGCTGTAATTTGTGAAAGAACACATGCTCTGCTTGCAAACATTGCCAGATTCCATTCTTGTTTTTCTATGCAGGGCTAGAAAAATCTCTAAGCTGAAACTCTGGAAGTCAGCCTTGACAGTGAATGGCAAGGTCAACCAATGCACTGCAGTATAAGGACAACTTTCTGTGGTCACAAAATACAGAATAGCTAGTCCTTGACATACAGTCATTCATTTAGTGACCTTTCAAAGTGACCACAGTATTGAAAAAAAAATGATTTACAACTGTTCCTCACATGTACAATGTCTCCAGAGTCACACGATCAAAGTTTGGGCACTTGGCAACTGGCCTGTATTTATGAAGGTTGCAGCATCCCAGGCTTAATGGGTCACCATTTGCAACCTTCCCAGCCAGTTTCCAAAAAGCAAATTCAGTGGGGGGAACCAAATTCACTTAACAACTGGTGCAAAAAAAAAAGATTGTAAAATAGATGCAACTCACTTAATAACCACATTGCTTAGCAATGGAAATTCTGCTCCCAATTGTGGTTGCAAGTCAAGAACTTCCTGTATGGAATACTTTGGTTGCCAGCAACTGTTGAGTAAACATAACTTGCAAATGTTACATGGCCTCAGAAGTGTGGATAATGTAAACAGAATGAAGATAAGTGTATTTCAATCATATTTTCTTCCCTTGCATTCTGGTTAGAATTTGTGGCTTTCCCAGCCTATCTCAAAGACCTAAAATCTGTTTAGCTTCAGAGTTACACCTATAATAAACAAGCACCTTTGGACCATTTTTTGGGAATAAAAATCCTCAAATAACATTTACAAAATAATTGTTACTGTTGAGAAAACTGTGTGATTGTCAGAAGGTATTTGATGTGAGCTCATCTCAAGAGATTCAGATAATGTACTACGACCAGGAAAATAAGATTCAAGTTTTCATATACACAAAAATCTAATTTGATGAGATTTGCCAGTCACACACACTCGGTCTAATCTACCTCCAGGTTAATTTTTGTGATGATAAAATGGGGAATCGCCTTAGCTACAACATAAGGAACCCAAAATTATGGAGGGGAAGATAATCAAATTATTTTATAAGCATATTAACAAGTTTTAAATTGCTATGTTTATTAACTAATTAAAAATAAAAGCAAGAGACAGCAAACTCAAATGGCTTACTGTCTTTCTAGACAGCTGACTAAGCAATCTCCTTTTATTTTTATATTTTTAGTGTTGAAGGACTTCATGCTATTGTAGTATCAGACCGAGATGGTGTACCAGTAATTAAGGGTAAGGAATAATCAAAGAGGGATAAATTGCTGAATTATCCCTTTGCAAATCGATTGCATGCTTGGTATTGAACTGTCTGTTGAAGAACAACATTCCAACCAAAACTGAGATGACAAAAGGAAGCTGTTTCATCTTATATCTCAACATATCTAAGTTTTAGTATGCAGATTCAACCTGATTCCAAACTGGATTTTTCAGTACTTTATAAGCTAGCAAGCATGCATCAGCATTAATCATAATTTGGTTACTCCATTTTGTTGGCCTTTAGCATAGTTGTTGGTCAGCAGGAAGCGTAATGCCAGTTCATCAGCCATGATGCACTTCCTTAATGCGACTTATGGAAACTGTCGAAAACAGTCACATGCCAACTTTCTTTGTGGGTGTTTTGAGTTTGAGTGACAATGTGGGCTTATCTCATGTTCTATGAAGGGATGAGTGAAAGCAACTTGTACTTAAAGCTAAGCTGTACATCAAACTTATCTACTAAACCTCTTCTAAAAAGAGGAAGAGGTTTGTCAGATCTCAAAATTACTTTTGCTTTTATGTTTAAAATGTACTGGTCGGCTGCATATTTAGGGTTTTAATTAATAGCATTTCACAGAGGACTGCAGTGGGTTGGTTTTTGAAACATACTGAAGCAAGAGCCACAGTATTCCTTGCTCTTCCTTGCTATGGTCACAGGTGTACCATATTCATGGAAGAGCTGATCCTGTTTCCCAAACTTGGGTGCTCTCCAAATGAATGGATCATTTTTCAAAGGTCATGCTGAATCTGCACACCTGTATGGTGCCCAAGTTAGAGAAAATTGGTCTCTGCTTTTTGACTGCCAGTACTGCTTTTAAGACTCGTTAGATCTTGTCTGGATGTTGAGGACTCAGGAGTTTATAATGCTGTCCAAGACGATGATACTTTGCATTCCTGCTTATTCTGTGAACAATTACAAAATGACTTATTTTTCCAGTTGCCAATGATAATGCCCCTGAGCATGCTCTTCGACCAGGTTTCTTGTCAACATTTGCACTTGCGACGGATCAGGGCAGCAAACTTGGGCTTTCCAAAAACAAAAGCATAATCTGTTACTACAACACTTACCAGGTAAGAAATTAACCAACAAAGGTTGTTTATTAGTGAGAATGCTAGCAGGTAAATAAGTGTAAAAATTATGGATCAGTTCAGAAAAGTCATAGAAAAGTCTGTTCAAAATCTATCAGCGCCTATAATTTAAACAGTTTGGAGTTTAATTGGCGTGATGCATAAACCTAGGTCACTAAGAAATTAAATCAGCATCGATTTGTGGTTTTGTTTGCTAGGTGAATCTGGATTCAATGATTTGTTTAACAAAGTACTGTATGTTCAGGTATGCAGCTTATCGCAATGTATTAACCCAGCCAGTATAAAAGATTTATGCAACGTAAAGAGAAACCAGAATGTTCTTTTGAAATAGGGTATTGTGATGTTTCATATACAGGTAGTCCTCAACTTAACAACCACAATTGAGCCCAAAATTTATGTTACTAAGTGAGAAATTTGTTAACTGAGTTTTGCCCCATTTTACTTTTCTTGCCACATTTGTTAAGTGAATCACCGCAGTTATCAAATTAATAACACGGTTGTTAAGTGAATCTGGTTTCCCATTGACTTCACTTGTCAGAAGGTTGCAAACGGTGATCACATGACCCCAGGACATTGCAGCTGTTATAAACGTCAGTTATCAAGCATCTGAATGTAAATCATGTAACCATGGGACTGCTGCAACGGCCATAAGTATGAAAAATGGTCATAAGCTATTTTTTTCAGTACCGTTGTAACTTCAAATGGTCACTAAGTGAACTGTTGTAAGTCGAGGACTACCTGTTTTTAGATTTAAGTGTGACCTGTGTGTATGTACCTAAAAATATATGCAAAAGATACTATTAGCACTTTAAGGGTAGGAATAGAGAATTGCTAATTGCTAATCTGCCAGCTAGCAGTATATACAACCCAAACAGGTAAACTGACCATAACAAAACACTGACATTGAATGTTGAACTTGTATTTCTTTTCTGGTAGGTGGTTCAGTTCAATAAACTTCCTTTGGTAGTGAGTTTTATTGCCAGCAGCAACGCCAATACAGGTACATTTTCAAAATTGAAAAGTCCTCTGTGTTTTTAGCATTTCAATACTTAAAGGATATGGTTGGTCTGTGCCCATTTTTTAAGCTATGTTCAATTTTTGCAAATAATTTTGAAATTAGTCATTCCTGTCGTAAGGACTAAAAGCTAGACCTAAGGAAAGCCTTATACCAAAGTTTTCACAGATTATCCTTGGTCAACAACAGTGGCAGAACCAAACATTTCAATTTTCCTCCAAAGAAAGGGAAATCTATGTCGTGGTAGCAGTGATACTGGTCCTCACCCAAGTAATAAGTTCTTCCTAATACTATGAAAATGAAGTAACTCCTACTTGTGCCAGTTATGGATTCAGTAGTGCCTCTATAAAAAATCTTGGGCAGGGGTTGGCAGCTATGGAAAGGGCAACCTGTGGACTTCAGCTCCCAGAATTCCTGAGCCAGCATAGTGTAAATTGTGAGATTGCCCTTCTAGAACAATAGATTAAGATGGAATTTAAATCTTCCTTTACTTTTTTTCATTCCTGCCTGAGGGACAACAGTTAATTGTTATATCTCATCTTATTTGCCTATCTTTACGTAGGTCTGATTGTAAGTCTGGAAAAAGAGCTGGCTCCGTTGTTTGAAGAACTGTGGCAAGTGGTTGAAGTCTCGTAACTCAGTATTTATGTCTAGAGCACAGCAAGGGTTTAATATGAAACAGGGAAAGATTCAGTCATTTTCACACTGTACAATGAATGTCTTGGAGGAAATGTCACTTTTTCTTAATTATATGTTAAAAACTGTACTGGATAATAAGGTAAGATTGGGATAAATGGGCTGTAGCTTTTCCTGTATATCTTAGGCTGCTGGGTATATTAGTGAGCATAACAACTCCCATGGAGTTAACTTCATGCTAGCACATATTTCATAGTAGAAAAAATACCTTTTGTGTATAAAATGCCATCCACAACTTTTCCACTGTACCAGCAATATGTTGCCTCTGTTTAGATAAATGGAGACTAGTGCAAACATACATTTTACAGTCAAATCTTCCTTTATGCTTAGAAGAAGAACATTATTGGAAAAATGATATGCAATCAATGGTTCTTTGTTTGGATAACAGAATTTTAAACTTCAAGGTAGCTATTTGTAAACAAGTAGCTATATGCTAGTTGTTTTTGCAGAGTTCAAATTAATCAATGCATTGTCTTTCTGTATTCTTGGTAAATCTGATGTTTTGAATACATGTAATTATGATACTTTGCTGACTTATCTGGCTTTGTATATTCCTAAGCAAATCTGAATAAAAGAAACAGGCAAGGTGTATAGTCTGATCATTATCACAGAGATAGATGCAAAGCAACATTATTGCTGTCTTTAATCTCAGTATGTTGATTTATACAGTACTGTTGCCTTGGATTAAGAAAAAAGGCAGGGAAACCTAACTCGGAATATTTTTTAAATGAGAGAAAGAATTTTGAAAGTTGGAAAGTATAAGAATCATAACACATAAAAAGGAATATTCTATATATGGAAGAAACCCACTTTGACAGGACATTAACAGCTACATATATGACTGCACTCTAACAAATAGGCTTCAAGTGAAGAACAGATCAGGCATATAGGTGGAGTCTAGACCAGAGCATTTTTTGTCAATCATGGCAGCTTTCAGATGTGTAAACTTCATCTCCCAGAATTCCCTAGCCAGATGGCTATTATGGAGAAATCCAGAATTTGAAATGTACACCTCTGGAGATTGCCAAGATTGAGAATAAGTAGCTGATGTCCAAGATCCATTCTAACTTTTACATATTATGATTTGGAAATTGTCACAGTTAAGGAACATTGAACCAAGAGAATAAACAAGTATTTCCCCCCCCCCAAAAAAATTCGAAATCTCATTTGAATTAAGAGCAGTCCCTAACCCTAGCCTCAGAGCCCCCATTGAGAAAGGAAGGTTAGTTATATAAAGCTTGAAAGTATTTGTACTGTCAATATTGTCTTATCCATTGCATAACTAAAATTGTATTTTCTTTTTGTTCCTGGTTTATTAGAAATTTTATAATAAAAATATAAAATATGATACATTTGTTCCCAATACATATTTGTGCGATCCTTCATTCACTTGTTCTTACAAACTGACAACAGTGTAGCTTTGAAATATTCCTATTGGTAAACATAAAAATATTAAATAATAAAACATATGAGAAAACATGTTTTACAAAATTAAAAAAATACAAGAAAATGCTGACAAAAGAGAGAGCCATAGTTGGCTGTATATATTTTGGAACTCTTAAATGGTATTAATTCTAAATAGTAATTAATGAAAATTAATTAAATAGTAATTTAATGCCATGTACAGGTGAAACTCAAAAAATTAGAATATCGTGCAAAAGTTCATTTATTTCAGTAATGCAACTTAAAAGGTGAAACTAATATATAAGATAGACTTACATGCAAAGCAAGATAGTTCAATCCATGATTTGTCATAATTGAGATGATTATGGCTTACAGCTCATGAAAACCCCAAATCCACAATCTCAGAAAATTAGAATACTACATGCAATCAATAAAACAAGGATTGTACATAGAACAATATCGGACCTCTGAAAAGTATAAGCATGCATATGTACTCAGTACTTGGTTTGGGCCCCTTTTGCAGCAATTACTGCCTCAATGCGGCGTGACATGGAAGCTATCAGCCTGTGGCACTGCTGAGGTGTTATGGAAGACCAGGATGCTTCAATAGCGGCCTTCAGCTCTTCTGCATTGTTCGGTCTCATGTCTGTCATCTTTCTCTTGGCGATTCTCTATGCGGTTCAGGTCAGGCAAGTTTGCTGGCCAATCAAGCACAGTAATCCCACGGTCATTGGACCAGGTTTTGGCAGTGTGGGCAGGTGCCAAGTCCTGCTGGAAAATGAAGTCAGCATCCCCTAAAGTTCATCTGCGGAAGGGAGCATGAAGTGCTCCAAAATCTGGTAGATGGCTGCGTTGACCCTGGACTTAATGAAGCACAGTGGACCAACACCAGCACGTGACATGGTTCCCCAAATCAACACAGACTGTGGAAACTTCACACTGGACTTCAAGCATCTTGCAGTGTGTGCCTCTCCATTCTTCCTCCACACTCTAGGACTTTGGACTGCTGAGCAACAGACCAGTTCTGTTTTTCTTTAGCTCAGGTAAGATGCTTCTGATGTTTGTTGTTCAGGAGTGCCTGGAGAAGAGGAATACGACATTTGAAGCCCATGTCCAGGATCCGTCTGTGTGTGGTGATTCTTGATGCACTGACTCCAGCCTCAGTCCACTCCTTGTGAAAGTCCCCAACACTTGAATGGCCTTTTCCTGACAATCCTCTCCAGGCTGCGGTCATCCCTGCTGCTTGTGCACCTTTTTCTTCCACACTTTTCCCTTCCACATAACTTTCTATTAATGTGCTTTGATACAGCACTTTGGGAACATCCAACTTCTTTTGCAATTACCTTTTGAGGCTTTCCCTCCTTATGGAGGGTGTCAATGATAGTTTTCTGCACAACTGTCAGGTCAGCAGTCTTTCCCATGATTGTGATTCCTACTGAACCTGACAGACCATTTAAAGGCTTGGGAACCCTTTGCAGGTGTTATGGCTTAATTAGCTGATTAGAGTGGGATACTTTGGGCCTAGAATATTGAACCTTTCCACAATATTCTAATATTCTGAGATTGTGGATTTGGGGTTTTCATGAGCTGTAAGCCATAATCATCTCAATTATGACACATCACAGCTTGAACTATCTTGCTTTGCATGTAATGAGTCTACCTCATATATTTAGGTTCACCTTTTAAGCTGCATTACTGAAATAAATGAACTTTTGCACGATATTCTAATTTTTCGAGTTTCACCTGTACATGAATGCCAATTTGTTCCCTAATATGTATTATGTTGTATTCTATTTCTTGTTGTGCTACTTTTCTTTAAACCCAAGTTGTCTGGCCTCTAAAATTATATTGGATAGATTTGAGTTAGTGGCATAGAACATCACAATATGTCAAATGCATACACTAACAGAAAATTTTATTTCATCCTTCCAAAGACATTAGCTGACAACTGGAACTAATAAAATGCTATGCAGATTTATGTATCTGATTCTACAGGTCTCTTATGATCTAGCAAGTAAGGTATGCTCTCACGTGACTTTATACTTAAGTATGCCGAATATTTGCAGAAAATCTATTGCTGAACCAGGATATGAATACGTATATTAGATGTGTATTCAGCATAAAGCTTCCAATAGATAACCATAGTTTCTACTATACAGCAAATATATTTAAACAGTGTAGTGTAGCTGAAGCTACATCTTACCATCTACGTATATCTTGAGATGTGCAGTTTCTCTGTGTCTTGGAAAACAGATACATTGATTTGTCTGCATGGAGAATATCCATTGTGGCATTTTGAGACTGTGCAATAAATTTAAAGCAGCCGCCATCAGTGACAAAGTACAGTCACTAATGAATGAGGGCCAGGGACACAGAAAGCAGCCATTGAGAAAGCATAGTACTAACAGCTTTTCCGACCTGAAACTGACTTATAAAGTAGCATTTCATTTGTCACAATATACGGATATTTCTTGACTTACGACCACAATGGAGTCCAACATTGCTGTTACAATGCAAAACAGTTGCACTACTTCTTACCACAGTTGTAAAGCGAACCACTGTGGCTGTTAAGTGAATCATGTGGTTGTTAAGTAAATCTGAATTCCCCCATTGACTTTGCTTGTCCAAACCAGCTGAGGAGGTTACAAATGGTGATCACATGACTCCGGGACAATGCAGCTGTCATAACTACATGCCAGTTGCCAAGCACCCAAATTTTGATCACGGGACCACAGGGATGCTACGATCGTGTGAGACCCGGTCATGAGTCACGTTTTTCGGTGCCATTTTAACTTTGAACAGTCACTAAACAAAATGGTTATAAATTGAGGGCTACCTGTACTCCCAATATTTGAAAAAAATCTTACTTGCTCATAGAAATGTGTCCCACTAGCAGTAGATTATCTATAACGATTGCTCACCAGGGAAGTCAAAACTACAGAAGTTCTGAGAAAATGATTTTGAAGTGTGAACAGACGATTCTTAAACCCAAGCAAAGCCACAGATGAAATCAAAACTATTTTTTAAAAAACTCTGTGCAAGTGTGTCTTAATAGACCAGTGGGTAAATGGTTTGAAGCATATGGAATGGCAGCCAGAGGTGAGTGGGTTTGAGTGAGTTCAGGTTCATGCTATGAAACTTTGACTGAAACTGCTTACATAAGAAAGAACTGGTCAAAACCTGGCAGCAAAGGCAAATACAGAATGCCAGCAACCACTGAGCATATCCAGAATAATGAAGTGTTGAATAGGTGAATATCCATCTTCCAAGGTCTTCTGCTTTAACAGTGTTCAGGAATCCCCTAGAAATCAGTTGTCAGCAAGTCAGCAGCTGCAGAGCTTAAAAACCTCTGATCTGATCGGGTGCAGCCCTTCTTAATGCTGATTAACGAATCTGAAGGCGTATGAATATGAAACAAAGTTGGTTTCTGCACAGTTAGCATTTGTAGCCAAAACTACTATGGCCTGAGTGTGGCATCATTCTGGCGTTTTTTCCTTATCTGGGACTAGGAAAAAAAAAAGTAAAGGTGAGAAAATATTTGTTGTTGAAATTAATTTGTAAATAAAAGTAAATTAAAATACCATGTAATTTAAGAGCTTCTGATAACCCTCTGCATATTGCTAAGCTACATCTCCCATCATCTCCAATCAGTTCACTACAGTATATATCAGAGGTGTCAAACTCGCATTGTCACGTATCTGGACTTTTTCCCCCTTCGCTAAACCAGACAGGGATGGAACCAGCACATGATGCAGCTGGCCCGCAGGCCATGAGTTTGACACCCCTAATATATATCATACACAATAGGCAGTATATCAGGAGTGGGCGACTATGACAACTTTACGACCTGTGGACTTCAACTCCCAGAATTCTTAGCTGGCTCAGGAATTCTGGGAGTTGAAATCCACAGATCATATAGTTGCCCAACCTTGTAGTATATGGTAACTAGCAATAATTAGAACTATAGCCCACCTAGAAGATCTGTTTGAAAGTACAATTTGTTCAAAATGCAATGGGTCTCATGTTAGAATAAGGTTGCCATCACCACAATATTGTTATTGCTGGATTGGCTGCTCAGAGGCCATGTTTGGGAAAAGCTTTTCTTCAGAGAAAAGCTTAGCACCCTCATCACCAGCCTTCTGGAAATGAGTGAAAATGCAAGTCCTGTGAAGGGCATCTAGGGACTGAAAAGCAGTGTAGCTTTGCATCTGTATTTGCTATATTGATATTTGTTTATATTACTGACTTTTATTGTTGCAGCAAATATTCAATATGTCCTATAAATGTAAGCCACTGGGATTCCCACTGGCTGGGTAAATAAAACTAAACCAACAACACTGCAAGAGGGGCAATAATTCTCAACTTTATATATTTTAAGCATGATTGACTGAATAAAGATTAAAGGATAGTTTGATAAGATACCAAGATATCAGCATTAGGGAAAAGAAAGCCGGTATCATAACACAAATTGAAAAAGAAAATGGGTCCTATCATGTAAATGACTATTCACCACTCAGTTATTTGAATTTAAGAATATTTCCCTTCAAATCATTCCCCCCAAATCATTGAGCATTTCACAACCCTTTTTTATTTCTCAGACCAAATCATTATATTTGCTGAACTCTTACCGATTCGATGTATACTTTTTTTCTTTTAAAATTAGTCACTAAAGCAAGTTTAGCTTTTTATTAGGCCATTTTATATATTTTATTTGGAAAATGTAAAGCAACAATTCTGCTTGGTGCTGCCATCATCCCATACCCCTGCTGATTTCAAAGATCAAAAGATTTCAAACATTATTTTAAGTAAACTACTGCAAATTTAGCCTCCTGCCTATTTTCTCATTCCTACCAGAAAGGCAAATCACAGTTTTTTTCCAGAGCTGAGATTCTCCATTCAGCATTTAATCCAAATCAATTCCTCACCTATACTACCCTTCTCTTTCACTAAAAGCCTGTTCCTGCGTCATAAAGCCTTAATTCATGTGACTACTCACACTGAGCACCATTGTTCAGTATTAAAGGATCACTTAAAAGTCCAAATAACAGCTTTTGGGGGGTGGGAGGTGAGGGGGGTGAATTTCATTATGACTCAATCACCTGCACCAACTAAGCTCCAAAAGACAGCAGAGACACACTACAAAGAAAAGTGAAGTTGAGTGTGCTCTGTGACATGCATAGAAGCATTGGACCCTAACATTTAGTACAGTTTCATTTCCTTTTGGAAAAAGAACATAAGAAATTACCGTATATCAAGTCACATTCTTGGGCGATCTAATTTGGTGGTGTTTGTACAGAGTGCAGTTGCTGTTAACATCTGTTTGTTACCTGGAGTTAAGAAGGATTGAACTTGGAACCCATACGGATAGTCCTTGACTTACAACTGTTGAGCCCAGAGCTTCTGTTGCTATGCAAGGCAGTGGTGAAGTGAATCACACCCCATTTTATGACCTTTGCTATTCTTAAGTGAATCACTGCAGGAAAGTGAATCATGCGGCATTAAGCGAAACTGGCTTCCTTAGTTGACTTTGTTGTCAGAAGCTCCCTGGGAAGGTTACAAATGATAATCCCAGTGCTGTTGTAACTGTGAACGATCACTAAATGAATGGTTGTAAGTCAAGGACTACCTGTATAAGCAAAGAAACAGAGTAGGGAATGTTTAAATGTCCATGAGTAAGTGTGGTGTAATTTTCTCTTTTTAAATATTTCCAAGGCTACCATTGTGGGATTAAATTAGAGAAATCAGCACTGTCAGCATTAACTATTATTTGTCACTATATTGCTACCCGTTTAATTCTGTTCAAATCTTCTGTGATGGACATTTCCTTACCAATTTCCACTGCAATATTTTAATCCACTCATCGGCTTCTACTCCAGTCTTTGCAAACATGTAATACGTTCGCATTGGAAATACTAAACTGTAAAATATAAAATTATAAACATTCTGTGTCACAAATATAAGGAAACCATAGTCATCTCCGATATGAATATTCCATTTTCCCAAAGAAACTGAAGCTAAAAATATTATTTTATTTATTTTAAAAAAATAATCCTGCTTTTCTTCTTAGAAGAAATAGAAAGTAATTGAGGTAAATATTTGAAATTTGACCGAAGCCTTATGATAAATAAAATAATAGCATTAAAAAAATTGGTTAAAAACAAACCAGAGAAAAACTTATCAGCAATAAAGATGCATCCAAAGTGCTCCATTCAATGTGAATCAGAGATATTACCAAATGCACAGCCTTCCAGAGATGATACTCATCAGGCCTAATCAACATGCTCGAGTAAGGGCTCCAGCTTGGGGAAAATATCAAGCATCTCTAAATTTTATTTCTGAGAAACAGCAGAAGGTACGGCTGCTTTTTTCTTTTAAGTACAGGTAATCCTCATTTAGTGACTGCCTCATTTGCAAACATTTGCAGTCATATTGGTGATGAAAAAATAATTTTACAAACAACCCTCACATTTACAACTTTCAGCAAAGAAAGCTGACGTAAGATTATAAAAATTATAATAGTTTCTCTTAAAGGCTGCTTTGCCAAACATCTGCGTTATTGGTAACCATTGTGGTCACTATAAGAGGATTCCCTGTAAAATTGAATGCATATTTTGTTATAATTTTAAAGTAGATTGACAGAATTCAAAGAAAGTAATTCCACTGAGTTGAAACACAACTATGGCCCAAGCCAGTGTATTCCAAAGGCCAAGTAGGAACAGGTAAATTATGGAAGCTGCTGTTCAGCTTGTTTGTTAGGATGGCTAAAAATGCAGCTTTTTGTTTCAGTCTTAAGCAACACATACAGTATGTGCAAGTGGAGCTAAGCAATCAAATAACATACATGGGTGTGCTGCTCTTTCCTAATTAAACTAGAATTCTTGGGATTCAAGCACAGCCCTTTTCTAAAGCTGTTCAGAAAAGAAGAACAAAAGGAGAGCAGCAAGCAATTAGTTCTGATGGCAAACTGACAAATCAAGGAAAACCAGCACAACATCTTAATTGAATTCATGAGAGATAACAGTAATTTGGTTAGCAGTGTGGTGAAGAAGAAAAGAAAACAAAGTTTACACAGAATAGCACTGAGAAACCGTGGAAGAAAGAAAAGACATGCTAGGATATTCCAAAGTTGTACTTAAGCTTCAACTTACCAAAAGCAATTCACTTTTTCTTGGGAATAGTCAAACTGCACTGCTGAGCATTCAGTTAAATCAAGTGCTCTGATTGGCTCTGTGGACTTGAAAAAATGTTAGTTTTGAAACAATTGCTCTGTGTTATTTTTTATTTATTTTTATTTGTCAATTGCTTACAAGATAATAGGTATAAGTAAAAATATAGTTATGAATACATGGATACATATAAGAAAAATTTTAAAAAAATATAAAGGAAACAATAGGACAGGGACGGTAGGCACATTGGTGCGCTTATGCACGCCCCCTCATTTAAAATTTAAAATATTTTAAAATATTTTAAAGTTTAAAATATCATTTAAAATGGTTACCCACCTCGCCCCCATCATAGATATCAGGTAAGAAACAAAACAGTAAATAAGGCCTTCCAGACAAAGATTATTTTGCACTCACTAGTGCAGGGGTGCCAAACTCAAGACCCGGGGGCCAGATCTGACCCACAGGGCCACCCTGTGCTTAGATCTGACCCACAGGGCCACCCTGGAAACAGCGAATGACTGGCCTGCAGTGACTCTGTCAGCAAAAACAGAGCTGGGGGGGGGGCACATGTGACCCACTTGAATTCCATTTTCACTGGCAGAGGGTTGCAGGAGGCCATCACGGCTGAAAACCGAACCCTTTTTTTTGCTGGCAGGGTGCTTGGGCTGCCACAGGTGCCCCTGACACAAGTGACAGAAACTGGCCACCCCCACCTCAGCCCCCAAGGTGAAACACAATCCTGATGTAGCTCTCAATGAAACCAAGTTTGACACCCCAGAACTAGTGGGTTTGATTTAATACATTGCAAAAGACATAGTACAACTGGAAGGAAAAATACCTTAGAACAGGGGTGTCAAACTCAAGGCCCGTGGGCCAGATCCATGGGGTGCTTAGATCTGGCCTGTGGGGTCACCCTGGAAACAGTGAAGGACCAGCCCGTGGTGCCTCTGCCAGTGAAAACAGACCTCGGCAGGGCCTCACACAGCCTCCCAGTCTTCGTTTTTGGCCATGACTGCCTCCTTTTGTCCTCTGCACGCAGCCACCTGACCTCTGTTTTCACTGGCAGAGGGGCAGCAGGAGACTGTCGTGACCAAAAACGGAGCTTGGGAGCCAGTTTTCGCTTGCAGAGTGCTTGGACCACCTCAGGCGCCCCCGACACAAGTGATGTCAAGCTGGCTACGCCCCCAAGGTCAAACACACCCTGATGTGGCCCTCAATGAAATAGAGTTTGACACTTCTGCCTTAGGAAAAGAAATCTAACATGGGTGGATTTTCCTTCTCCTCCAATAGCAATGAATGTAGTTTATCCTGCTATAGCTTTAGGCCTGTTGTGAGTACATTTCTATAAAGGAGGGGCAGCTCACATTTTTGGGCCATGCATTAAAATTGTTATTGGCCTCCAAAGCCCACAGGACCTGTATCTCATCAATTATGATGATGATACCAGTGGGCAGGGCAACCTCATTTTATTTTGCAGAGTTGAGGTGTACATTGCAAATATGATTAAACCTTGAAACCTTGAAGAGACTATTTTGGTGTCCAAAATGCATAATTACCACACAAAAAATAATTTTTGCCACTAACTTTCAGGAAAGAATTTGGGAGCTAGGGAGGAATGTGCCACCTGCATTTCCTGACTCTGCTATAAAAGAAACACAGTCATTGATATATTAGAGGTTCCATGTATGTGTAGCCCACTAACTGAGCTGATACACTATGGAATAAAAATGGAAGTGAGTATGAAGTCCATCTTGCTTGGCACTGAGTTTCACAGTAGCTATTTTGGAAAGAGTATTTCCAGTACCTTGTTGATTGCTTTGTGTTACCTCTCACAAGCAACAGAGTAAAACACAACTCACCGTCTGATCTTTGTAGTATTTCAGCTCATTCCTATGCAGCGTAAACCACCTAGTTTTCCAGTTCTAAAAGAATAAAGAGAAGGGAAATTGAAAGAAATTCAATACAAAAGAAGGAACATGTACTGGAAAAAAACCTTCTCTTTCTTCCCTTCCTCACCATGATACAGGTAATTCCCGACTTACAACTACAATTGAGCCGAAAATTTCTGTTGCTAAGTGAGACAGTTGTTAAATGATTTTTGCCCCATTTTACATTGTTTCTTGCCACAGTTGTTAAGTGAATATCTGCAGTTGTTTTATTTAGTGAATATGAATCTGGGTTCCCTATTGACTTTGCTTGTCAGAAGGTTGCAAAAGGTGATCACATGACCCCAGGACACTGCAACAGTTATAGAAATGGATCAGTTGCCAAGCATCCAAATTCTGATCACGTGACCATGGGGGATGCTGCAATGGTTGTAAGTGTGAAAAATGGTCATGAGTCACTTTTTGTCTGCACTGTTGGAACTTCAAATGATCACTAAACAAATGGTTGTAAGTTGAAGATTACCTGCATCTAACACACATAGCATCTCCCATACTGGATGAGTGAGTGTACATGGACAGGAAATGCAACTTGCATTAACAAGGTAAAACAGAAACAGTGAAATGAAACCTGGAGGTGCCACAGAGTAGCCTTCCCTAATCTGGAAGGCGCTAAACACATTTGTTTATCAGATACATGATATGGAACCCATATCATGTATCTGATATTAACACAATTGAAAAAGTCCAGAAATATTTCACAAGAAGAGTTCTCCACTCCTCTACTCGTTGCAGAATACCTTATGCCACCAGACTCGAAATGCTAGACCTAGAAAACCTAGAACTATGCCGCCTTCGGTCTGATCTACATAAAATCATACAGTGCAATGTCCTACCTGCAAATGAATACTTCAGCTTTAATCACAACAATACAAGAGCACACAATAGATACAAACTCAAGGTTAATCGCACCAAACTTGACTGCAGAAAATACGACTTCAGCAACAGAGTGGTCAATGTTTGGAATACTCTACCAGACTCTGTGGTTTCTTCCCCAAACCCCAAAAACTTTAACCTTAGACTGTCTACTATTGACCTCACCCCCTTCCTAAGAGGCCTGTAGGGGGCGTGCACAAGCGCACCAATCGTGCCTACCATCCCTGTCCTATTGTTTTTTTATTTTTCTTACAAGTATCTATCTCATGTATTCAAAACTATATTTATTCTTATACCTGTATCTTGTAAGCGATTGACAAATCAAATAAATACTAAAATACTAAATTTGGAAGGTACCAGGTTAGAGAAGAGTAAGTCACACTGGAAAAAAAGGAAATGCAATGGAAAGATGGCTCAGAAGAACATTCTAGAAGTAAGGAAGACAAGGCAGGCAGATTTAGTAAGTGAAAAGGAAGAGGGTGTTGCAACCTCCTACATGACATGAGATGTGAACAGGAAAAGACAACAGATGAATCTACATGAAAAAGGAGAAGTGAGATTGAGGCCATACACAACTCAAGTGAGATTGGAGATTAGAGAAAAATTATGATTAATCTTGCCAGTAAACACATAAAGAGCATGGAAAGAGGCTGAGATTGGCTACTTATTTCTCTGATTTGAGAATATTCAGCAGTCAATTCAGCCAAAACCTTGAACATACTATAACTCTAAATTTGATAGAAAGCTGGATCTAAAATTAAGTCTTAATTATAATCAATAACAACTGTTTTAATCACATAACTCAACCATTCAAAATAACAATCTGGATTTCTCAGCATTTGAGGTGAAAATCCAAGAAGTACCTCTCTGCTCTATAGCAAGAAAATTGCATTTTTAAATAAATATACTGTTTGCTATCTTTTCAAAATGAGCTACTAAAAGCAGCTTCATATGACTTCTACTTCATACAGCTTTCATTAAGATAGTGTCCCCCAGGGACGTGGGACTATAACTCCCATCATAACTATACTGGCAGCGGATTGTAGGGGTGACAGTACAATCTGCCTAGAGGCTGCTATACCAAGGAAAAGTAAGTTTCTTAACAATACAGCGATTGTTGGATATTATACAAACATGTATTCCAGATCCTATTTTGGTCATACATGTCCAATACAATTTTCAAGCTCTGCTCCTTAGCATGTTTGATTTTTAATGTGTAAGAAAATAAACAATAGAACAACTTTTAGATTGCTTACCTTAACTATTTTGCCTTGCTTTGTTAGATAACCTTCTTTAGTCCCTAACTGTAATGAAACACAGGAAAGTTTATTAGGATGGTTGAGAAGGATGTGGGGTGGGGTGAATAGGGGAAGGGAGGAGGCAGGTAGATCTTCATCTCAAACTTGAGTCTTTTCAGAGTCTTGATGTGGCTGACACAGCAAAAGAACTTGGTGGTTTTCAGCTGTAATTGTTCCTTTTCTCTTATAAATGAGTTATCTGCTACCACTTCCCAAAAGGTTCATCTCAATGTACAACTATGCAAAATTTATTTTGCCAATAAATAGGTGAAATATACCTCGGGAACACGTATTAAAGTGGGTGCTGACTATAATGTGCAAATATATATATTGTAAAGGGATCAAACATAAACACTAGCCAACTGTTTGTTCATCAAAATTAATATGATTTATCAAATTCAATCAACATTCATATAAAACATCCAGTTAGGGCAAAATGGAATTGGCTTATCTGCAATTAAGTGCATCATAAGGAAATCCAGCCATTCACTTAGAACAGTGGTTCCCAACCTTTTTTTCACCCTGCACCCCTAAAGAAATTTCACTCGAACCTCGCACCCCCTGAAATTTAGACTTTAGGAACTACTGAATGCGTTAAATATATGGTAGGATTGAATCTTTTCAGCTATGTATGTGACGGTCACTAAATAACGATACTTAACTCTAAAATGAAAACAAAGTTAATCCATTGCATAATAAATAAAAATGCCAACATATAGCCAATATCCTATTATTTACCTGGACTTTTCTCGCACTCCCTGGAATATCGTCTCGCACCCCCAGGGGGTGCGAGCACCCCAGGTTGGGAACCCCTGACTTAGAATATTGTATGAATTAAATATCCCATTGAACCCTAATATTGAGAATACCATATAATATAAACACAGTGGTTGTGTTTTGTTAACCAGGTTTAAAATTTAGACCATTTATGATCCCAGCCTTCATGTTCATGGATCTTTATGCTATAAGTTACATTAATAGCTGAAGGGAGGTGCAATTGCTCAGCAGTTAAAGACGCTGAGCTGGTCTGCTGGAAAGCTGACTGACCAAGTTCAAGACACAACCAATTCATGACGGAGAAAGCTCCCATTACTTGCCCCAAGTCCTGCCAACCTAGCAGTTCAAAAACATGTAAATGCAAGTAGGTAAATAGGTACCACTTTGGTGGGAAGATAACAGTATTCCGTTTCAGTCATGGTGGCCACATGACCATGGAAGTGTCTTCGGACAATGCTGGCTCCCTTGGCTAAGAGATAGAGATGAGCACCCCCACCCTAGAGTCAGACATGACTGGACAGGGGAAACCTTTCCCTTTAATTGCTGAAATGCACCATTTGGAGGAAGAACATTTTCTCACTAAGACCATCTTTCCCAAACTGATGCCTTCCAGATTTGCCAAGCCTTCAGCTCCAAGAATTTTCAGCCTGGATGCTTTCTTCTAAAGGATTCACTTCGGCTCTAATCAAAATCTTGTCCTAATTCCATAGTAAACTATGGAAAGCTTTCTTTTCTCCAACCAATTGTCCAAATAGGAACTCACCGATGGAGCATTGGGAATGAGGTCAAGTTCTGTTCTTCCCGACTGCATAGCCGTGTGGACTCGCACAGATTCATAAATGGAAGGCTCTTCTACTTTCTTGGGATATGGATGCTTCAATACAATCAAAGTCCCTATAAGAAAGAAAACCCTAAGTATCCATAAAAGTGAATTCAGAGCCTTTTCCCTTACATAACAGGATGTCCCAAAGGTGCTGTTTAGGAAGCAACTGGACTTCCTAATTTTTCTTTGAAGACATTTCGCTTCTCATCCAAGTTCATAAATGCATGGCACAACATAGGAGAACAAACCCATCAGGACAAGATTTAGCAGTCCACATGCATTTAAAAGGCAAAGGCCACTCTTTTGAATACAGCAAAGTCCACATTTTGGACAGAAGGACTGCTGGTTTGAAAGAGGGGTCAAAGAGCCCATTTATATCAAAATTAAACAGCCCTCTTTCAACAGAGGGGGAGGGATATGACATCATCTATCTCCAGTCTACAACACAGTCCTTTCAGCAGTTCCAAGAAGGCTTCTCAAAAACGCACCTTTAGGACAACCATGACCTAGATGACTGAGAATATCCTTAGATACGTAACAGGATGCACGCAAAAAAGAAAGAAAGAAAAATGATCTTAAAAAGCCATTACAACATATCACTTACTATATTTACCTAGATCTAATCTAGCATCCTGCTATATAAACATTAAACACTTCGATAACTTAACAAAATATCAAAACATATTTGTCTATTTTTGTTTTACATTTCTCCCTTTATCTCAGATTCACCAAAAACCTACTGAGATCTCCTTCAGATTCACCTAAGCCCTATTCTGGACTTCAGCCTCACCAATCTAAAAAGTACAATCTGCAAAATATGTCAACCTACAGGGAAGTATCCCTGCACTTTGATGTATTTTGGCATGGACTTTCTTCCCAGCTAAATAATAAATAAAGCCCCAACAAGGTGCAGTAAATTAGATACCTTACCTTATCCTAAACCCTAAACGATTTACTACTTGCAGAACAGATTACCAGGAAATCCTACAGTTGTCGGGTAGTTAGGAATTGAACAAGCATCCCAGAAAAAGGTAGTGACCAGCCATTTCTAGATTGTTGCCAAGAAAACTACGTGGCATCTCCATGAAATCACCGGCTGAATTTGACTCAAAGGACACCTTGCTTATTATAGAGTCCTTGATGCCCTCTAATCTTGGTTCTTTGCTTGCAGACATTTTGTTACCTGACATCAGCAGTACTAATGAGTGTGGATTTTGCTGCCTGTTTATACACAGTAGTTTGCTTTGCAAATGTTTGGCAGGGGTGGGGAGAGGGGGGGTTATCCTTAGAAGTTCCTTGATTAGGGTACTTTTTTCTGCTTGATTGTCTGGTATTACTCCCTGCTTATCTGGGTGAGGCTGTGTTCTGGTAGTTTTGTTTCCTTTTTAGCTTTTTTATTGTCTCTTTTGTATGGTGTGTAGATTTGGTTTATCTCTGTGTATCTTTGATGACTGATTTGTCTCAGCATGCAGGAATTCCCTCTAATTTTTGGATTTATCTTGGTCTGGTATGCTTACAGTCTCTCAGTTGAAACTATGGTTAGGTCTGTCCATATGTTGTGAAATTAAGGATGTCATGTTTTTGCTTATTTTTTTAATAAATATTTAAAATGTTCCTTTTTAAAGTGTTTTTAAATATTGCTTCATATTATAAAGGCTAGGGTTAGGGTTATAATAGAATCCTCAAAATCAAATGAAATAGTTGACATTTCAAATAAAATTATCCATTATCTGTAACTGTGAAAGAGTTTCATTCCAGATTGTTCTCTGGCCTATGGAAAGAGAAATATAATCTATTGATGCGGGATCCAATTTGGGTCGGTCACCAGGACCAGAACTTTTGTCTTCTGAGCTTTTGGATTTGTGCTAGAGCCCATCTGAAGAGAACCGAAGTGATTGCCACACATTGGATCCTGCAACATTATCCTTGGACCCTTATTAAACCTACTCTGTGGAGTTTGGGCTATTATGGTATTTGTTTTTTCTGGTCTTAACTTTTCTTTTCTATGCATTGCTTCATATAGAAAAATAACATGGAAGGCAACAAGTTTATAGGTATTATGAGGTCCAACACCTATCTCCCAGCTGGTGGCACTTTCCATTTTAAGAACATGAAAGGAGTTTCACAGAGCCAGCAGAATCTGATTTCGGAGTTGGTAAACCATAGGCCAAGTCTATCATTCAACACTGGAGATCAAATTCACTATTATATAGTGTGAATTTCTTCGCTGTTAACAGATATAACAGATGGCAGGATGGCAGGTGGTGAAGAAAAACTACAATAAGGTACAAGGTGCATTAGAAATATTTAAAATTGAATGAACAATAAACTATAAGATGGAGATTCCTAGGCAATAACATATAGTATATCTAAGATACAAGCCTTGAGAAACAATTTCTGTCAGTTAGGACTGGAATAGATGACCTTTCTAAGAGTAAGGCTGTTTCTATGGTTCTTGAACAAATAAATTTCTAATGGATGATGCCATAATCAGCAAATGGTGGGATGTTATTACTTTAACTAGGCAATTTGTATCACTATTCATCAAGTGGTTTCCCATTCAAACATTAACAGAAGTTAAATCTGCCTTGCTTTAACAAAGTTGGTATCGAAAGCTACTCCTCAAGCTATGACCATAATTAAAACCAGAATTTTGGTTCCTAAGCAAGGCAGTCGTTATGCCCAATTTTACAACCATTTTTGCCATTGGTTGTTAGGCGAATCACTGCAGTTAAGTGAATCATGCGATCAATAAGTGAATCTGGCTTCCCCCATTGACTTTGCTTGTCAGAAACCAGCTAGGAGGGCGATTACATGATTCCAGGAAGATGCAACTGTCATAAAAATAAGCTGGCTGCCAAATGCCCAAATTTTAATCACATGATCATGAGGATGCTGTGATGGTCATAAGTGTGAGGAACAGTTGTAACAGTTGCCATTGTATCTTTCTTCACTAAACAAATGTTTATAAATCAAAAGCAACCTTGTGTTGGTTTGATTGAGACCATTTCCCCATTAGTGAGTTATAGCATTTTGTAACAAAACAGAATATCAGAGTTGGAAGGGACCTTGGAGTTTCTCTAGTCCAGGGGTGTCAAACTCAAGGCCCGCGGGACAGATCAGGCCCACAAGGTGCTTAAATCTGGCCCATGGATGGAAATAACAAAGGACTGTCCCACCGGCCTCTGGCAGCCAAAATGGGGTACTGGGAGGGAGGGCTGTTTTTGGCTTGGACAGCCATTTTGGCCAGCAAGGTGCTGCAGGAGACGTCCATCCCATCTCCCACCACCAGCCAGCCCACAGAGGAGAACTACAATGATGATCTGGCCCCTGAAGAAATCCAGTTTGACACCCCTGCTCTAGTCCAACCCCCTGCTCAATCAGGAAGTCCTATACCCGTGATGGCGAACCTATGGCACGCATGCCAAGAGGTGGCATGCAGAGCCATTTGTGTCAGCATGTGAGCCACAGGCAAACTTACCTCACTGCGCATGCGCGCACCTCACAGCTGATTTTTGGCTTGTTTGAGGCTTGTTTCGGCCTCCCAGAGGCTTGAGGAAAGCCTTTGAAGGCCCCAAAATAGGCCCCTTTCATCACTTCCTGTATTTCCGGAAATAACGGAATTGACTAAACAGGCCCATTTTTCAGCCTGCAAAGGCTGCAGAAGCTTTCCTCAAGCCTCTGGAAGGCCGAAAAAGGCCTCAAATGGGCCTAAAATCAGCTGGGAGGCGCAGTGCGGGTAAGGGAGGGATTGCATGTGCATGCGCAGGGGGAATAGGGGCGCAATGCCTTCTGGGTGCTGGCACACAAGCTCACATGCGCAAGTGCACACACAATTTTTGGCACAGTAGCCCAAAAAGGTTAGCAACCACTGCCCTATACCATTTCAGACAAATGGTTGTCCAATCTCTTCTTAAAAACATCAAGTGTTGGAGAATTCACAACTTCTGGAGGCAAGTGGTTCTACTGGTTAATTGTTCTAACCAGGGGTGGGCTTCAAAAATTTTAGCAAAGGTTCTCTGCCCGGTTGTTGGGTGGGTGTGTCCATGGTGGGTGTGACCTAATCAGCCTCCTGCACTATGATAGGGGGTGTTTTGCATACAAAACGGGCTGCGTGGTGAGGGGCGGGGTAGGGTGGGCAGGGCCAGCCAGGAGTGGGATTTGGGGGTTCTCTGAACTGCATAGAATCTTAGCTAGGGGTTCTCCCGCTTCTCTTACTTGATTAGTACCTGTACCAAGCCTCTGATTTCGCCCCCAATCTGATTGATTCTATGTTTGGAAACATGTATAGGTAGTCCTCGATTTACAACATTTCATTTTGTGACAGTTCAAAGTTACAATGGCACTGAAAAAAGTGACTAATGACCATTTTTACATTTATGACCATTGCAGTATCCCCATGGTCACATGATCAAAATTCAGATGATTGACACCTGACTCATACCTATGACATTTGCCGTGTTCTGGGTTCATGTAGTCACCTTTTGTGACCTTCTGACAAGCAAAGTCAATGGAGAAGCCAGATTCACTTAACAACCATCTTACTACCTGAGACTTCTCAGAAAACAACAACTGAATGAAAAACTGCTGGTGACCTTCTACCACTGCACCATAGAGAGTATCGTAATTTACTGTACCTCTGTATGGTTTGCCAATTGCACAGTGGCAGATAGGACAACACTCCAGAGGGTTAATATCATTGCCCAGAAGATCATTGGTTGCCCTCTCCCCGCTTTGGAAGAGCTTTATAGCTCCCACTGCCTTAAGAAAGTTCAAAACATTCTCAAAGATCCATCTCATCCTGGGAACCCTTTTTTTGAGCTATTACCATCTGGCAGATGGTACGGGGTAATAAAAAACATGGACAAATATGCTGAAAAACAGCTTCTATCCCAGGGCAGTAGTACTATTGAATTCTACTGTATAATGCAATATCAAGGGTTTTCAATTCAATGTATAAAATGTGAAGGATGTGTGTTTGTGTTTATTTTCATAGTCATAATTTACACTGAAGTTGGTATTTAATTTTGTTGTACAAGGTGCAATGACAATAAAGTAAACTAAACTAAACTAATTTAACAACTGCAGTTATTCATTTAACAACAGTGGCAAGAAAGGTCATAAAATGGGGCAAGACTCACTTAACAAATAGGTTGCTATCTGCTTAGCAACAGAAATTTTGGGCTCAACTGTGGTCATAAGTTGAGGACTACATGTATTTTGGAAATATAAAGAAATGGATTTTTAGTTGTTTTTTCCTCTTAATGAAGGACAGTAAGGAATAAACGAAGGAGATATACTCTATTTTGTCGAATTGGTGATCTAGATCAGCAAAGACTTAAACACAAGAAGACAAGAAAAACAACTGGAATGATCCGGATGTTTGTCCTCTTAACACATTTCCATTGATTTGCATGTGCCCTATAAATCAGGGAATCTTCAAATGTGTTTAAATTGAAACCAGTGTCCCAATGCCTGATCCTGAGTACAGAAAAGCAAAGAATTTGAAAGATATTTGAACAAAAGTAAAGTAGGACCTCCCTTGGGCAAAGGGAGAATTCTCTTAAAACAAAACCTTACTGAAGTGATACTGCCATCAAACAAAACAGAACGAAACAAAAACCCCTGTGAATTGCTTATTGCTCCTTATCATCCTTTCCTTTTTCAGCTACTTTAACATTCTTGAAGGTTCAACCCATTGATCTTACTTGACACATAATGAGTTGATAATGAGAGCTTCTTCATCTGGACCTGCTCCAGTAGTAGTTGCTCGTCAAAAATATGAAGCATATCTTGTGTTAAATAGCAACCTATTTAGGGACTGTAACAACAGAGCTCAAGTTTCCAGGTGCTGTGTCAGTTGGGGCCAGTCAATGAGTTTTAACACTTGTATCAGGAAACAGACTTGGCACTTGAACAAGATTAAACCATTTCTCACCTTAAACTAAATGTATATATCTCAGTGCTCCTTGTCTCTCTATCTTCTCAAATGCTTTCTTAAACCACCCAGGATGATGTAATAAAACTAAGTAAGGATAAAATCAGTATTTATCCCAAATATATGGTATTAGCATTTTTGCTGTTATGTTATTTATTTATTTATTTATTTATTTATTTGATTTGCCAATTGTTTACAAGATAATAAGTATAAGTGTATACATAGTTGTGAATACATGAAATGGGTACATATAAGAAAAATAAAAGAATAAGAGAAACAATAGGACAGGGACGGTAGGCACGATGGTGCGCTTATGCACGCCCCCTACAGACCTCTTAGGAAAGGGGTGAGGTCAATAGTAGACAGTCTAAGGTTAAAGTTTTTGGGGTTTGGGGAAGAGACTATAGAGTCGGGTAGAGTATTCCAGACATTGACCACTCTATTGCTGAAGTCGTATTTCCTGCAATCAAGTTTGGTGCGGTTTACTTTGAGTTTGTATCTATTGTGTGCTCTTGTGTTGTTATGGTTGAAGCTGAAGTATTCATTGACAGGTAGGACATTGCAATGTATGATTTTATATACCATGCTTAGGTCAGACCGAAGACGGCGTAATTCAAGGTTTTCTAGTTTTAGAATTTCAAGTCTGGTGGCATAAGGTATTCTACAACGAGTAGAAGAGTGGAGAACTCTTCTTGTGAAATATTTCTGGACTTTCTCAATTGTGCTAATATCAGATACGTAATGAGGGTTCCAGACTGATGAACTGTATTCGAGTATTGGTCTAGCAAATGTTTTGTATGCTCTGGTTAGTAGTGTGATATTACCAGAGAAAAAACTACGTAGGATTAGGTTAACAACTCTTAATGCCTTTTTGGCTATGTAGTTGCAGTGGGCTCTAGCACTTAGATCATTAGAGGTGAGTATTCCAAGGTATTTGTATATGGTATATTTGTATACCATATACAAATATATGGTATACAGCATTTTTAGCCAAACCAAACCAAACTAAACCGTTTGTATCAAGAAGGCTTTGTTTAAATTTTTAAGCTGTATGAGAACAGATCCAAAGATTTCAAAAGAAGTCTATGGAGATTCTCAATCATCTAGGTCATGGTTGTCCCAAAGGTGCTTTTTCAAGAGGCAACTGGACTTTCTGGTTTTTCTTTAAAGATGTTTCACTTCTCATCCAAAATGCTTCTTCAGCTCAGAGCCAGAAACCAGAAAGTCCAGTTGCCTCTTGAAAAATACCCTTTGGGATTTCAAAAGAAGAACTGCAAAGGAATGACTTCTGTGGAATCAATCCAGCAAAACGAAGAGTGCCAGTGATTTTAATAAAACAGACAGTTATTAATAGGAAAACTACTGGTTATGCAAGCAGCCAGTGTCTGCAACTTTTATCTTTTAGTTAAAAGGCAGCAGGAGAAAAAACCTTGAACTGAAGGAGAACAGAAATACTGAAGGGAAAAAAAATATTTAACTTAATTAACTGCATTATTGACCTCTTCTCCAACTACTGTATCAGAACTATTTCTTAATTAAACTTTTTTCTTTCTTTCCACTAGCAATACTATTGTTTGCCACTAGACAATCAACAAATAAGGGACAAAATTACACTTAAAACATAACACACCTTGATTTTAGCACATTCATAAAAACAGAAAGGTATCACCCACAAGGCTAAAATCTATTTCAGCAAAAAGGCTGCAGAATTGAATAAAAAAACATTTTCACTTGCTAGAAAAAGGAAGAATTGGAATCAATCAACCAAGAATTGGAAGTGTTGGAATCATCCAACTCTGCAACGCTTCCCTTTGCAAAACTGTAATAAATCTTGCTCATGTGACTATGGGGAAGCGGTGATGGTCATGAGTGAGAGGACCTGGTTATTGAAAAGTGCCACCATAACTTTGAAGAGTCACTAAAGGAATGGCCATAAGTATAGAACTACCTATAAGGTGTTTTGCTTCTTTTTCATTTGAAGCCATTCTTTACCTTGGCCTGCCTTTGATGACAAGAGACTTTAAGGAACCAAAAAGCTTTTTCTGAAAAGCATTGAATTAAATGCATTGCAATTTCCATGCTAATTTGTGCTCTACTCTCCTCACATCCTGAATCCACGACGTTCATAATATTTATCCTATTAGGAAACGTTTTCTAGTATGCCACATAGACTAACAAACTACTGTTGCAATACCTGAACATCTGACAACAAAAAGTAATTATTAAATATTAATTTAAATACCAAGAACTTTGTTGGAGGCAGCAAATCTATAAAACTTACAAAGGAGAGGATTGATCTGAGGAAATAAAAAAGAGCTTTGGTTTAAAGCAAAGCTACAATATAAAAATCTTTAAATTAAATTTTCGGAATACAATATTTCAAAAGAAAGAGAAAAAGAAAATTTTGATTACCTGTCTCACTACCTATTAAAGGCTGATTTGCAAAATGCATAATCAGGTCTTTCAAGTCTGAAAATTCATTGAAGCCAAACTTGTATGAATTCCCTGTGTATTCCACATGAAAATGCTTTACAGAATCTTTTGCTCTGAAAAAAGAAAAGAAAAGAAAAGGAAGTGGTTAACTGTACAAACTGTTTGTATTGGTTCCAGAAGACCATTAAATAAGAAAGTTAGCAACAAGAAACTCCCTTATCTTCATAAGGAACTCATTCAGGTTTTCCTTCATTCCCAGTAGTCTAAGCCCATGGTACTCCCTATCATCCACCCTTTAGAAAAGATCACTAGCTTCGTTGTGAGAAAGTTAAGTTTCATCTTATATTACGCCACTTATTATTTTCCTTTGATGTATACGAGCCTTCCTTAGCCAGGTGTCTTCCAAGTACTGTACGTTGAACTGCACTTGGCCATGCTGACCAGGAACTTTGGAAGTTGGATGGCTTCCATATATGAGTTCCAAACCAGACTGAAAGCAGTTGCATGTTTCTATGTACCTGTAACTGAATCAGCACTGGTGAGCTGAGCTGATTTATTTGTGGCTCAACTGTCTTATAGGAGCAATTATGAAGCTCTTGATGATTTTGAGATAAGGTGGCTTCTTTTTATCCACTGGAGAACACTATTGGTTTACTCTTCCAGTTCCTCATCTTCAAATCAGATCTTATGAGAAATGTTAGCTTGGTGGCTTTGAGGCTCTCTCTCAGCAGCCCATATGAAAAGAGCAGGAACAAAATTGTATTTTCAGGTCTTGTTTTCAGCATTTCAAATAGAAGAAGAGATTTGAAGAGAAGACAATCAGAGATTTGCCTATCTGTTACACCATTTATTCTGTACCTCTGACTATCATCTGACTATTATCAGCTAAACAAAATGCAGTTATCTCTTATCCATTAATAGGAAGAGTAAGTATATAATATCATTAAAACCAATGCATTATCACTTCAAAAACATGAGTTTCAGACTGTAATTCTCAAAATTATAATAAATGAAAGGTCATTCTAGTTTGCATGTATTCGAGACTTCAGCATTTTACAAAACCAATCTAAGCAAACAGTCATTATTTTTAATGTAAGTCGAATATGTTTTTCATGTAAGCTGAAATCCAAGTAAGTACGTGTAACCTACCAAAATGGGCTGCCATTAACTGCATTAACTGATTAATTATGAATATTTAAATTATTCTATTTCTGATTTTTTTTAAAATTTTTTGTATTTCAGTCAAAGTTAAATGTTCCTGAACTGTAGCTATTTCACTGGTGTTCTGATGAATTGCATTTCACAACTGACTTGTGAAAATTGATCAGTGATAGAGTCAAGAGGATTGGGTATACAACAGTAAGACTTTGGTTCTTGTACCAACTGCTACATATATGACAGTTGTGGGAAAGAAAGCAGATACTGTACTCAAAATATGAGCAGGCTCACATGTAAATAATGTAAGAAATATTCATACTACTATACCTTACAGAAAGCGAAAAAAGAGTAGTCTTGCCATTGCTTTTTCTTAGGAGATAGCTTCCATCACTGCCATTGGAAAGAAGAAGAGCCTCTGCTGCATGACGTGTGAGATTGTCATGATACCATCTAATGAGACATCAAAATTCGTATTTCATTAAATCCATGCCTTTTGCAACAAGTGTGAAGTCCCATGCAGTTGGACATGATTAAGGAAGCTAGAATTACACAGATTTTCAATAACATGACTTTAATAGCAATAATAGGGAATTTCCAATTCTCCTTTATTAGTGAATTCATTACGATGGAAATTCTCAGAACATATTGAATAATTTCTTCTCAGGTTTGTTGACATTTGGATTTAGTTACTGTTTATGAAATGAATTGTCAACAGATTTGTTTCTTATCTCTTGGCTCTTTACAATTGAAATTCCTTCTATTAGCTTCCCTAGAATCTCTCACGAAAAGTGACAGAGAAAAAATGAAAATCTCATAGGTATAAGGCTCACTGCAAAACAAGAACCTTAGAGCATATCTGACAAATACCCATGAGGATCCCTATCCATTATGACCCATGTCGAATCTGCAAAATGGATCAAACTAGTCAGTCCGATGAAGCGAAGTCTTGGCTTCTTGGTTCATCAAACACAAATCCCAAAGTGTGGGGCTTATGATGCAGTGGTATGATGGTGGTTTTTGTCATTTAATGAAGTAGCTGGAACCTGAAGATGTCTACTCAACCAGACCTGGGTTTGAGGTGGCTACGCAATGTTTGGGTGAGCACTGGAGCCAACTTCTAGAGACGAATTGGTCATATTATCACAGAAAGTTGCTGATAATAGCTTGTAAATTTATGAACTTATATTATAGAAACAGGCAAATATGCAAATCATACAATACAATGGGCACCATGTGATTTTTTTTAAAAAAAAATGGCTATTAATAAAATGAATTTCTGAAGTGCAAGGCAAGGATAATCCTTACATGCTATGAAGTAGCACTTTCAAAAAGGCCAGCCATGGTAAATTCCCACCTATGTCTTGGGTACATGATACCATAAAATAATATGGAGACCTCAATATTTTTTTTATTGTAAAGACAATTTTCTAGCATATATTATGACCGGGAAAGTGTTTTTTTGAAATATCTTCTGGAACTGCAAAAGCCAGAAAAATAACTGAATAAGGTTTTGAGAAGAGGTTTCTTTCTCCTTTCTAACATTATCAAAATAAAAAATAGGGCCCTGACTCATACTGTACAGAAGTCTTTAGAATTCATTTCTTATGACCAGACATTTGGAATATCTGAAGGCAAACTTTTATTTTATTGTTTGAACAGTAAACTACTCATAGGGTCTTACTTCTTCATTATAACTTAATGCTTATTATTTCAATCTAAGAAGTTATTCTTGTCCCAGTTAGTCTCCCTTGGTTTGATAGGTGTTTATCTGGCTCAAAGTAAAGTGCTGAAGACATTTGCAGGATCCGACCAATGTACTGAATATTGCCACCTAAACTGGAACACATAATAACAGCATCCAGTCAAGAAGCCAGCCAGAATACTTTGAGATGGAGAAGGCCACTCTATACCTTTCTTCTCCCTGCCAGGAAAAATACAACCAAAAATATACTTATTCACCCTTCATCACAGCTCCTTGTTGTGAACAGAAGTGATGAAATATGCACCTGGAAAAGGGAGGGGAGAATTCCAGCAACAGCACCATGGTTTCCCAAGAGGAAACAGCAGATTTCAAAAAGAAACTCAAATTAAGAGTCCCAAACTGGATGGGGAGGATGGAAGAGGTCCAGGGTAGCCTAGAATCTCTCAGGAAATGTCTATTAGGTTAGACTGTTACAGTTTTAGTCTGGGAAAGATTTTTAAGCAAATAAAGAATTAGACTTGATTGAATTTCACCATGTCAGCTTTTGGCTTGGGCTTGGTACCATCTCATTCTGCCAAGTAATAAGCCTAGTCTATACAAGTGCTCTTAAGTGTTGGAAACTATCATGATAACTTTCTAAATCACTATTTCCTGAAGCCATCTCTTCAGGAAGTCTGCTTACTGGTTCCTTCCTCTTTTAGAGAAATGAAGCAATCTACGTATACGCAAATGCATATTACAAATGCTGAAATCCCAGACCAACTTGCATATACATTTAATGCATGTTAGTTTGATCCAGTTAGGCAGTTTGAGTGAGAAGTTATGGTTAAAAATGAGTATTATGAAATGGAGGAGGTTTCACTCTTTTTGTTGTTTAGTACGTGAAAGTAGTAAAGTGATGTGTTAGAATCTCAGCTGTTGCCCAAACTGCCTACAGAGTTTCCTAAATTCTGAGAACACCAGAAGAAACCTGCCAAAGGGAATGTGTAGAAGCAATGCAGAAAAATTCATCTGTCAAACTGAGCCTCTGACAGCACAGACATTTTTATCAGGTCTCTTTCCTACAGAATTGAATACTTGGACTGGGCCATCAAACATAACACTATACTCCATGCAAAAAAAAAAAGGGGGGGGGATTGTAAGCTATTTGAGACATTAATGTTAGTAGGGTAAAGTCTTCTTCAAGTTGAACTCAATTACTAGTGATTACCTGAACATATCTGTGTCATTGGACAAGCAACAATATAGCAATGTTCTGCCTTTGCCTTCTATTGAGGTTCCCCCACCCACTTTTTTGTCTAGGTTATTGTTCTGGGATTCCTGATAGTCTAATACAGAAGTCTAACAAAGATGGGATAACTAGGTCCATGCTTCCTCAGCTATTCAGATCAGCCAGGCTTGTCTCAATGATGCCATCGGGATGTCATTGAAAGCTAGTTTTGTGCAGTGGTTAAGGCACCAGGCACTCTCTTGCAGCCCAACCCACTACACAGGGTGATTGCTGTGAAGTAAATAAGAGAAGGAAGGTATGTTGGATGTCTTCACCACACTGAATTAAATGTAAAAATATTAAATGCAGGATACAAATAAATAAATAATCCTTAAATAGACCTATACCAAGTACCCTATGGAGGCCAAGCTACCACTGTTTTGTGTGTAATATTATTAAAATTAGAAGCTGCTCAAAACTCTGTCTATCCAGCATGCATAAAAAGATCAAATGTCATCTTTAAAACACCTGTTGTTCCAAGTAAGTTCACTAAGTAAGTGTCAGAACAAGAAAGAGTTGAAGAGCAGATCTCTGATGAATGGATACTTTAAACAAGCATTTATCTAATATAGCGGAAAAGATGGGACTTTTAAGGTTCCTTTCCTGACGTATTTCATGGGAATATAAATAAAGTGGGACTTGAGACTTGCATGATTAGATACAGTAGGATGGGAAAGTAACCAAGATAAGGTTACTTGCAAAATGCAAATACATTCTTCTCAGTTTCACTTGTACACAAATGTGCATAAATTAATACCCTACATTAGAAAGTATTAGATTAGATCTGACATTATATTAGATCTGATCTTTATTTCAAGGCAGTGACAACGTGATTTGAAGTGAGGAGATATTTTATTTTATTATTTTTAATTTAACCTGGTTAAAATGAAACTTGTACACAAGTGAAACAAAAGTAGTAAAATCAAATCACTCTCTGCTGATACTTGAGTTCTCTGATGCGCACTTCCCTACAGGGAGACAACACTTATTTGGATGGTCCCTGATGCTTCAAATGAAACATTGGATGCCATTTGGAATGAGTGGGTGACATGGGCCTTGGATAGGATTGCATCTAGGCGGACTCTTGTGATTCAGCAGGGGCCCACCTATCAGGTGGCTAAAATGCCACTGGATAAAGACAAAGACTGCACTTACATTGGAAAAATGGACTGTGAAGAGAACTTGCATAAATGTCTAAATTGACTTGGATTAGGGAGGCAAAAATAACTACTTTTCTAAAAGAGCGGAATCCCTTTATGGACATTATACTGAAATTTGATAAAAATGAACTGGTGATTTCTGGATTAATTATTTAATAGGGTTTGAATATGAGAAGATGGGAAACGTCATGTAATTTTGAAGCATTTTATTTTTCTGCCCATATTGTGTCTGCAGAGAGCCTGTCAGTGGCCCTGTTTAGGATAACCTGGTCCCTCCTAGGAAACATTTGTTCAGCATTGTATTATTCTAGTCATCTGTTTAATAAAGTTGTTTAGATTCTTTCAGAGTTGGAATCTAGCTGTACAGGTCCTGTGGAATTGCCTAAGGCAGAGTCTTGCCCAGCTAGATGAGAGAAGTTGAAACCTGTTTGCCCTGATGAAGTAGACATCCCTGGAATTGTCTTTTTGGCCTCCTGTATTTGATCCCTATCCCTCCTGACTGATAGTTCCCCTGAGAGGTGGCAGGTAGTTGGGTCCAGGCAATGGGGAATGCTTCTTGTGAGAGGGGGACGATTCCTCTTAATTCGAAATAGATGGTTTCCACCTCCACCAAAGTGAGTCTATTACTGGACCCAGTAGATCTTGACAAAACTAGATCTAGTCTCCAAACTTGCTATTCTGGAAACAGAGTTGAGAAGGTGGTAGGCTTACAGCTCCAGAGGGCTCGGGGGGGGGGGGGGCATTGTCTGGACCAATTCCAGTCAGGATCCAGGTCTTGCCATGGTACTAAAACAGCAATAGCTGCATATGTGATGATTTTTGACAGGCTTGGAATGGAGGTAATGCATCCATTGTGGCATTCCTTGATCTCTCAGTGACCAATATTGTTCGTGATATTTTCCTGGATTGGCTCAGGGGATTAGAAATGGGAAGTACTGAATTACATTGCTTCTCCTTTCTCCAGGGTCAGTTCCAGTCAGAGATTCCTGCTTTGTGGGTCCTTCAGAGCTCTACCCACTCCTTGCTTCTAATTACTATCGATGAAGCCATTGGGGGAATTTGTAAACTGTACTTGTATTTGTATCAGTAACTGTATTTGTATCAGTACTCTGATGGCACTCAATTTTACATTTCTACCTGGGCTGACCAAGTGTTCTATCCCAGTGTCTCTCATAGAAAAAGAGGGTTGCTCCACAAACCATACATACGTTGTTGCCTCAGTAGATCAAACATTTTTCCATCTGATTTGATGTTTTTATTCTCTGATGCGCATCAGCCTTTCATAGCCTTAAACAGAGATATTCTTTTAAGCCATAGA